GTTGCAATATCTTTCCATTACCCATGGCTCCAACTATGCTAGTTATTCTTACATCACTATTTTTAGTGGTTAACTATTTTTTACGTTTGTATTTGCAATTATATATTTCATTAGTACTACCGCAAGCAATTGTGAGCTATACTCCTGAACATATATTCAATGTTCACAAAAAATCTCAACATCAAGCTAACAATGAATATTTATTAGTTTAAACTAGCATATATACTAATATTCTGTAAGAATATCCTATATGGATTAAATAAAAAGGTAATACAAAATATGTGTTGCAACCATTCTCCTTTAATAAAAAAAGTTACTTTATATAACATAAAATTAGTAATTAACTTTACTCAAAATATCTAAAATTCTTATATTAGGTCAATCCCATTAATAATTATATGTTATTACTGGTTTTTCAAAATTATAAAAACAGGATTAAATCTTTAAAAATCTTTATATTATTTAATATTTTCCACTCTACAAGGAGAATCTTGCAAAGAGGCCAATATCTGCATTGTTAACCAAAGGAAGGGCAAGATTTTCTCTTCTACTAAGAATTATAAACCAATTTTTCATGAACAACCATTATCAAGCATTTTCATCAATTTTCGTGGACAGACTAAACAAGTTCTTAAAAGAGTTCATTCATGAAAATCAATCTACCTAAAAGACAATTAAAAAATAAGGTGAGAACTGTACTGGATGTAATAGAATAGCCTAACAAGGCAATGAAAAACAAGCTGCATTAATTTTGTTAGTAGAGAGAAAGTATTAGACAATCACCTGACAGAGTTTTTGTTATGGGGAAAGTAGGGAGGAAGGTGTGTTGGATGTTTGCCGCCTTGAGTTATTTGTAAAAATAATAAAGGTGGGATACAAATAAATTAAATTAATGGTGCTTTGAATAAATCATGTGATATCCAGAAAGGAATAAGGTTGTCCACTGTCCCCTTTGTTATTTTTGTTTCTTGAAGTTTTGAACACAGATATTAGACAAGATGAGAAGATGATATTATGGGCCCAAAAATTAAAAATGAGATCTTCAAATTCAGATTTTTGCTGATAATTTGGTTTTGATTTTACAAAACCCTCTAAAAAGGGATTTTGATGAAAAAATTGGAAGATTTTGGTGCACTAGGTTTTAAGATTAATAAAGAAAAAAAGACAAAAATATGACTAAACAAGATAAAGACAATCAAACGAAAAAAATCAAGTTTTAAAAATGACCTTTAAAAAAGTTGAATATGTTGTTTCAAAATAATGTTAAGATATGGAATGAAGTTAAAAAAGATAGGTTGAGATGGGAAAAATTGCAACTTTCATTGTTGGGAAGAATTTCTGTGATTAATGTTTTACTTAGAATGTTATTTTTATTCCAGACATTATCTATACTGATGACTGATGTAACATTTAAGCAACAGCAAAAAGGTATTTCCAAAATTGTTTGGCAAGGCAAGAAACTGAGAATTAAATACAAACTGCTGCAGATTGCTTGAGGGGAGTTAGAACTACCAGATGTTGCCATTGTATTTTGCAGCTTGTTGTTTAATATGGATGAAAGAGTGGGTGACTTTAAGAAATAGACAGTTATTGGAAATGGAAGAACATGATTTAAGACCTATTGTCATAGCTATTAGGATGTGATAAAGTTAAATGCAGATTTTAAAAGTAATTTTCTTAGTCATACCTTACTGAAAATTTTGAATTGGTATAAAGCAGAAGTGTCTCCTAAAATTCCTTCATAGTTGTCATCCTAAGAAACCTTTTATTTGAAGAGAAATTAAACAAATATGGTTAACTTAACACTGATCTGCTAAATTTTTCCCAAGTATTTAGGTGAAAAACAAGAGAAAACCTAGAATTGGAAGACTTTACAACTCCACTGGATTCCCTATCCTCAGTTAATGGAAAGATTTAAACTTGGCAAGATTTATGAACTTGAAAATGCTAAGATTTTAATGTGAAGTTGTATACAAATGATGTTATTATTGCTAAAATGTACTAACTTTTATTGAAAATTAAAACAGAGGATAAACAAGTGAAAGACTGTATGATAAAATGGGCAAAAATGGATATAATATACAGTTGGATCAATGGGAGAGTATGAGGAAGGGTTTAAATTTACATTAAATTACAATCTTAAGGAAATTTTTTATAAAATGATGTATTTCTGGTATCTGACACTGGAAAAATTGTGAAATATGTACAAAGCAATTTCAAGTATTTGTTGGGAATGAAATCAAACTGAGGGTAATTTTTTCAGCTTTGATGGACATGCAAGAAAACTAGAAAATACGGAGATTGAGCATCTGATTCAGAAGATTTTAAAAGTAAAGGTATAATTGAAACCATAGATTTTTATTTGGGATTCAATGATAAACAAATGGAAACATTTTATAGAAACTCACTTTTTTATGTGATAACAGCAGCAATACTTTTATATGCACAAAGATGGAAGGGTTTACAAATACCTGTTGTCTATACAGAAAGAAGTATGCAGAATGGATGGTGAAGCTGATGGAATTGACAGCTTTGAGTAAAGAAAATACTAATTTTATTTCTATTTGGAAATCACTTTTGAATTTTTTGGCGAGAAACTAAAAGAAATGTTGATTTGGAAATTTGACAATTAGAATTACACAGGATTAAAGAAATAACACAGACAAATGCTAAACTTATAGTAAAAGTTTATTTTTTAATTCATAATTGTACCAAAGAAAGTCAGAAGTCATTAAAGTTGCCATTATTGAGATGCTGTGTAAATTACAAAATAATGGGGCAACAATACAGTCTAATCCTTGTGCTGTTGAAATTGAATTGGCTAGCTACTCTTGGGAATCAAATTTTATCCTAGAGCTGGTATTGCTGTAAAGTTTATATATTAGGAAAAGCAATAATTTATCTATGTTGTTAGATGGTTCTTCATCTACAAAAGCTGAACAAAGGATTCAAAGCTACATTTCTCCACTAGGTGTTATAGGATTATCTCTTGGTCTATGGTAGATCTTGCTGGTCTAAAACCATCTTGTTCTTCAACTAGGATATTTTATGTTTGACACTACACTGAAATGTCTTCATTGCCAAACTTCTACAGACAAAGACCCCTCTTAACAATCCTATTACAGTTTCCTTTCACTGAAAATGTCAATCAACGAGCCATAGATATCCAAAGCATTTGTATGTTCAGAAACAAGAATGAATGATGCTACCATCTTGCTTTATACTATTGATTCTTCTAAAAACGTTAATAAACAGATTTTTCAAAAATATGAATATATTTGTTCATGTTCTTAAAAATATAAACTGCATGAACCTTATAGGAAAACTGTATTTGATCCTATACCAATTGGTGAGTAAAATTTTCATATGAGAACTTTATGAACTTTCTCTGAAGTCCTATCCATTTGAAATACATCATTTTCCCCAAACTGTAAACAATTAAAAGGCAAATAATTCAGCAAACTAATAATTCAGCAAACTAATGTGCTATTATTTTGTCTTACATACCCTTTCTCAATATTTAATTACTTTTAAGCAAAATGCTTTGCCTGCTCAGGGTTTGCATAGTTTAAAACTCTGATCCCTAAAGCCCCTAACCATTCAATTTTTGAATTTCAAAATGTTTAAAAATTGTTGTGGAGGCTTTTTTAGGATTATTTAATGCAAAAGGGACTTTAAGAATTATATATCCAAGTCCATTCCCCACACCTAATTCGTTCTGTTAAAAAGCACAATTATCTTATTTTAAAATAAGCTATAAAATCTGGAATTAATTATGAAAACCTACCAGAAGGGGGAAAAAAAGCTTGTTTTAAGTTACCTTTACCTTACTTTAATTTAAAAACTACCGGCATCATTGTTTTTCTAATGGAGTCAATCAGAAAGTAAGATTTTTATCACCTACCGGTATTATATAACAGTCCTACAGTATTTCACATCAGAATTTACTGTACTAAGCATACAACAATCATCCAAGGCTTATAAAGTTATCTGAGTTGTGTCTTCAACACTGTTTCATCAAACTGCAGCTGGAACGGCCTTTAATTGTACCATCTGTAAGACTACGAGTGCAATTTATAAAGTTCAAAATGCAAAATAGCGTTAAGTGTTGCAGTGGAAAACGCCCTGAACTAAGTACATACATGACACATCAAAGGGTGTTGGTGCAAGGTATCACCACTCTTTTACGGCCGTACCCGCACGGACAAACAGCCGCGGTCACGCGCTACATACAGTACTGTATTGTATGCTGTACTGAATGGCAGGAAGCAACCCCTTCGCCAGCCCCAGTACAAAAACAGACGGCCCCAAGGTCTGAAAATACAAGACGCGTGGAGAGTTTACCGCCACAGTCCACAACCAGGGCCATCTGCAACTTGGGCCTCTCCTAGCCAACAGGGGAGGGCGGGGAAAGTCGATCGGGAAAGACTCGGTTTCATGCCTGTGACAGGAGGCCATTCCCGCCTCATAGCAGGAGGAACATCATGGTTCGCTGGCTGGGGAGCAGGCGAATGTCCCCAGGGGCCAGGGACTGAGGGGGCTGCGGTGCAGCAAAAAAACAACGCCTGCCAGCTCTTAAGGCAGCTGCTGCCAAGCGGTTGGGCTCTCCTCTCCCCTCACCGGCAGACCTCGAGCAGCCGCTGAGGGAAACCAGCAACCAGAGATGACTTCAGAGGGAAGCAAGCGAACCGTCGCCTTCGCCGCTCAATACAGCAAACCCACCGGGAATTGGGGCGGGAGAGGCCGGGAGGGGAGGTGTCTAAAGACAGAGAAGAGCAAAATGGCGACTGCGGCGCTTCGTCCTATTCCACCCGAATCGAACCTCCTTCTCGGGCCTCAGAAGGGGGGAAACGAATAGCTCGGGCCTCCTCGGGGCTACCCCACTAATCTCTCCCCATCCGCGGGCTCTTGCGCGCGGGAAGGATCTGGCAGAGAGGCATCTGGTTTCTTTCCCGGCCTTCTCGCCCTCGGCTCTCTCTCGGTCTTTTCTATCACTGTACCTTTGAATTTTAGGTCGGTGGGCGGATCGAGCACCAGGATCTGCTCGTGCTTGGCCAGGACTCCGGCGGCCGCCATCGCTGCTCACACGTTCGCTCGCTCCAGGAGGAAGGAGAGGGCGGGCAGGGGGAGGACGTTCCGCTGGGGAAGGAGGAGGGAAGCCTTCCGAGGAGGACTTGCAACGGCGGCGGCAAGGCTCGCAGCCGCCCCCTCCTCGTAGCCCCGCAAGCACGCGGGCGCAGAAGCGTGCGGGGGTCAGCCGCTGCCTTTGCGTTGCTGCCTTCCCGCCTCCCTTCGCTGCCCCTGTAGCAACTGAGTCACTCGTTCCCCAGCGCACTGCGATCAACGCCAACTCTGGCGCGGGCACGAGGACAGTGGCCGAGAAGTTCGAGCACCCGCGCGCCAGCCGTGCGGGGAACAGTGCGGACGCGAGCCAAGACAAACGCCGCCTACGCGCGCTCCCCCTTCCACCCTTCTCTCTCCCAGTTCTCGTTGGTTGACAGCCCGCTAGTTGGGGATCGGTGTTGCTGGTGCCGCCGCCGCCGCCAGGCTCTCTCGCAAGCTCCGAGAGTTGTCACGCGCGAGGGAACGTAAAGCTTAAAGGCAAAGAGTCAGTCGGGAGGGATTTTTCTCCAGAAGGGGAAGCGCGTGACAACTTGGCTGACCCGAAAGAGGAAAATTGATTCAAGGACGTTAGGTATCCGAAGCTTCAACGTAGCCGAAAGAAAGCGGCTTGATTGCTGAAACTCCAGGCGTAGAGCGCGCACCCGAATTTCGGTTGAGGTGCATTCTGGGAATTGTAGTCTTCAAGTAAATGGGAACGAGGACTTACGTTGCGCGCCCTTGGCTGTCTAAGAACTTGGTTGTCGACTTTAGGAAGTGCTAGTCTGCTTAAGTGACAATTCTCTGTCACGACTCAAAAGGGGAGAGCCTGAATTAGGGCTGCACAAATCCAGATGACCTTTAGGTGTCATCAAAGAGATACATATATTCAAAGCTTTTTTTGTCATAGAACCTCCAGAACGGAGTTCTGGCATCTTTTTTTGATGGAACCTTGTAGGGTAGGCAAGGCGAGTTGTATGACGTGTGTGAGTGCCAGCACTTTTTTTATATATATACAAAAAAAAGCACTGCATATACTGATTATGTGACATCGAGTCGTTTTCGACTCCTATCGATCACATAGAAACAGTGGTAGCCTGAGATTTTGCAATTCTGATAGCGCTATAGTGATTAGCTTCTCAATAAAACGAACATCAAAATCTCCCTTTATGCTACAGTAACACAATGCAGAGGAATCTTTAAGTTTAATCAAAATAAAAAGGCATTTTCCCACGCTAAAAGAGTAGACTACAGTGCAATGTTTGTTTATCCCAAGAAAATTTTTTTGATGATGAGGGCTGCAAATACCTGGGCGACTGCTAGGTGACAGCAAACCTACAGAAAAGGCTAATAGTCCGGATGCTTGTAGGCCCTGTAGGGTTGCCTGTATAATACTTAATATCAATTCAAAACTGACCAATTTGTTTGCCCTGCAGAATTGGTGTTTTTGTTCTGATAATCTTTTAACTGCTTACTTTGTTAAACACTAATATAACTGAATAAGCACCATTTACAAAAAAAAATAGCTCTGCCTTACTTCATCCTTTTTAGAAACAGGCCCACTGCAAAGTGTGCTAAGCTACAGTTTGATTATGATTCATTAAACAAATTAGAATTGGTTGGCTTTACATATTAAGGCAATTGTAAACAAATTAAATTATAGCATAACAATATTCTAACCTCAGTGCTTCCTAGACTGACAGCTTTTTTAAAGTACTGCTGTGCCATGCTGTTGTACAGAAATTGTCTGGAAGAAGGTCACACTGAGATGATAATGCAATCTAATGTTAAATTAAGGTTCCCACTGTCAAATAAAGGGGGGGAGCCCAATGTATATAATGAAGAATGAAATGCATAGTAAGGTACCGTACTGCATGTATAACTGAACACCAGTGATTGAACCCTTTCAGTTTAGTAGCCTATTTCAAAAGATACATGACATGAGCTGGCATTTTTCTCTGCACAGGTGTATAGATGTATACGTATTGAAGTGTAAGCTGCAAAAGGATCTGACCTAAGGTTGATCACATAGGAAGTTGAAGATACCCAATAATTTACTGTCTGCAGATCATCGCCTGTTTTCCAAAGTATGAATTAAAAATGAGAAGATGAGTTAAACATCAAACCAAAATAATGACCTCCGGGAAGGAAAATATATTTTACAAAATGTTATCAAATCATGTACAGTGTAATGTCAAGCAGACATTTTCATTCCAGTAATAGCCAGTGTTTGCAAAATTACCAAACTGAACTGCATACTCTTTAATAAATGTACTTCACAGTAATGTCAAGCTCTTGGCAGTTGACTGAGACCAAACAGCAATCTTTTTCACAGGCACAAATCACACAGGATCTTCTTACAAAGATTTACTGAAAAGAAAGGCTTTCACCACTGGAATTATGTCTCATTTAGAACTGATTTCTCTAAGAAAATTAGCGCCTTTAATAATTTCTAAGGGATTTTCTATGAACTGTCAAGGATGCAAATCTTGTTACTGATAAGGTTGCAGGTATGTATTAACGAAACTGTCTCTTGAATCCTTTAAAATGTAAGGGTCATCCCAGATGTACAGTCATGTATTGTTTGAGGTAGTCTTTAGGACTTGCATTCAATCATGTTTAATTCCATGTTTATTTCAAAAGCAATATAGATGGAAGTAATATACACAGTCCTCCACTTACAACCACAATTAAGCCCAAAATGTATGTTGTTAATTAAGACATTTAACTGAGTTTTGCCCCACTTTACAATCTTTCTTATCACAGTTGTTAAGTGAATCACTGCAATTGATAAATTAGTAACCTGGTTGTTCAGTGAATCCGGCTTCCCCATTGACTTTGCTTGTGAGAAGGTCGCAAAAGGAGATTGCGTGTCCTTGGGACGCAGCAACAGTAATAAATATGAATCAATTGCCAAGTATCTGAATTTTGATCACATGACCATGGGCATGTTGCACAGGTTGTAAGGGTGAAAAACAGTCATAAGTCACATTTTTCAGTGCTGCTGCAACTTTGAATGGTTACTAAATGAACTGTTGTAAGCCGAGGGTTACCAGTACCATCATATGAATGCTTCCCATCTATAGGTCATCTTGTAGAGGACTATCTTCTAAAAGTCTAGACATATGCTTAGGAACATCCCATGTTTTTTGTATTCCTTGGTTAGAAATTTGATAGTATCTTGGGTTCGGGGAAAACTTTAATCAGGTATCACTGAAAGCCGTCACATAGAAAGAAGAAATTTATTTGTGAATACATAACAGAATGAACCAACATTTATTGTGGAAAATGCCTCCTCTATTCCTTGTTTGCTTCTACCATCAGAATAATCAAGCATTAATAAATGTAGCATAAAAACAGCCTTATCATTTTGAATTATAGTACTTGAAAGGACAGCTCCTCAATCGTGGAGAAATATGATTTGGAGTAAGCTAGACATTATTTTAGCACAGAGCGGCATGTAAACATAACTTCCTCTCTACGTTTAACATTACTCTGAACTTTTACACAAATAAGGAATTCTGATGTAGAGAACAGCTTCAGCATCATTTATTTTATTTATTTGGAAAATTTATATTTGGAGGCTCGATAACCATCATATTTCTTATCATAATTTAAGGAAATACAATGTGAAAGATGAATTATCTAAATTCATTTTTCTCTCAGTGAAATCAAAAAGTAAAAAAATCCAGTCAGGGATTGTTGGGGGAAGAGGTAACCCTATACATGCTATCCTGAGCTCATGGGAAAAAATGGGATAGAAAAATCCAACAAATAAAATACAATTCTGTTTTTTAAAATTAATTATCATTTATTTGTTCCCTGTTGAATTTACTATGAATAAATAGCATAATTGCTTGCAAGCAACTCTGTGACATATCATGGAATCATAGTGTTGGAAGTGACCTCAGAGGTCCCCTTGCTCCAGCTCAATGCAGGAACTGCTAAAGCATTTTACACAGATGGTCATCGCACCTCCAAAGGCCTCCAGTGAAAGAGAATGCATCACTTCATGAGGCAATGTATTCAATTGTTTGATAGCTCTAGAAATTCTGGCTAATACCACTATCTAATCTGAATCTACTTCCCTGGTGATTTCAACCCATTGGTTCTGCTCTGATCACTGAGGCAATAGAAATCTGTCCATTCCTTCCCTCTATATGTCAATTCTTTAGATACCTAAAGAATGCTGTTATGTTTCCCATCACTTCTCTCTTTGCAGGATAAGCATATGTTCTCTTAAGCATGCCTAGTAGAAACTCATTTCCAGTCCTCTTATCATTTTGATTGTTCTTGTATCTCTCATTTTTTATTATTGTCCTTTTTAGACTGCAATGCCAGAGCTGGATTACAATATTCTTAATCAGGACCTGACTGTGCACTTGGTGGAGCAGTGGGGAAAGATTTGGAAATACAGTTTTCTCAAAATAGGCCCAGGTTAAGAGATTATGCAATCCTGAAGTATATGGGAGAAGAGGTAAGAGGTTCAGGATACCCTCCCCCCCTTTGACTCCCTCAGGAAATATATAGCTGGTTAAAAGGATATAGCTTTAATTTGGCACGATTCTGTGTAAGCAAAAGACTAAACCTAATTGAATTTTGCTGTGTCATCTCTGGTTTGGATTTGATCTAAATTAAAGGAGAGTAATGTGGGAGAATTAATTATGTCCTGTCATCTGTGATCCTGATAATATATTCTAAAGTATCATAAATACTTACAAAGATGCCAAGAGTTTTTAGGTGCAAAAATAGACCTAAAAATTGGGGGTTTGGCTTATCTGTGGATGGGCTTATTCTCAAGCATATATTATACAATAATATGTTTTTAAAGTACCAAATTTCCCATATATACTTAAATCATCCATAAACAGACCTTTGAGGTTTTAGCCAAACACCATGAAAAGTGTGAGTCAGTTTATTCATGGGTGGTGATTTTTTATGGTATGGTAGCTAAAAGTTTGTAGATGGTGTTATAAGCGAGCATATGTAATAACACTTGTCTTTTTAACAGGTGAATCACACTGTTGGCTCCCACTGAGCTTGTGATATACAGAAACAACCAGATCTTTTCTCATATATACTACCGAGGCAGGTTTCCCCTATTCTATACATTTGGCTTTCTTTTTTTTTCCCTCCCCACATGGAGGATTTCGTATTTCTCCCTGATAAATCTCATCATGTTTTTGCTCTAGTCCTCAAGTCTAGAATCTTCTTTTTCTAGAGTGTTAACCACTCCTCTTAGTTGTGTCATCTGCAAATTTGATATTCATTCCTTCAATCTATATTTGAGACCTCTATTTCAGGAGTTATTATTACAAGCAGTTCAATAATCATCTTGATTCTTTTAGTACCCTAGGATGTAATTAATCTGCTCCTTGCTCCTTGCAACAGAGCCACAGCTTCCTTCCCTTTCTTTTAATTCTGTTCCCAAATTATATTTTTTCTTGTTTTAGGTACTTCTCCCAAGATTTACCTTATTTTAAACTTCGGTCTTTCTGACACAATCCTTTCAGTTTCCTGCTAGTGACACATTTAAAAAAAAAATCAGGTGATTTATGAAACATTTCCTTTGAGCTGGCTTATATAGTTTTATACTGTAGCTGGAATCACTGAGAGTCTTCTGTTGAATTATTTATAAGCCACTGTAACAGTGATACTACTGAGAAATTTCTATATTGCAGCCTGTAACTGATACACTCTACATATGTTCAGGTATTTTTCTGTCCTTCCTTTTTTCAGTTCTTGTACTCTTTTTTTATTACATGTTAACACCTAGTTAAATAGCCTTTAAGAATATAAGCAGCATTTGGAAAGACAGAAATACTGCTGCATAGTATTGCTTTCATCATCCAGGTCCTCCCTGTGGTACAGTATATTCAAAGCATTATAAGAAAAAATATTGTGCCAAGGATTATTTGGCCCCAATGCAACTATCTATCTCAATACTTGAAGCCTTGCCAAATTACATAAACACAATGTCTGGGTGAATTGGTGGATCTGTATAATACTTAAAGAGGATTTATTTCAGAAGCCCTTTACCGAATGAGCACAAAAATGGTTTCTCTAGATACATTGCCATGAGCCCTAACAAGTCCTAACAAGCTCTAATTTATTTTGAAGATATTTCTTTGCCCCATTTTATATGGCAAATATGAGTCATTTTACTGTTACTATAGTGTCTAATTTTTAATAAGCAATATTCTACTTCTGTGGCCCCAAACACAAGAGGTATTCATCTGTTACTTTCAAGGCCTGGATCTATGATTCTGCTGACTGATATAATATAAAATCAAGGCTTTTATTGCTTGGAGATCCTTCAGCAGATTGGGTAATCAACTGGCAGAAAGTCTTCAGCTGCATTATGCACGGCAAGGTTGGGATCTCGAAGATACTTCCAGCTCCATTTAGTAGTCAGTCCTTTCAAGAAAAATATATTGTCATTAACTATTAGTACGACATTTTAGCTATTTTATTTTTCAATATTGCAGCAAAACAAAAATATTTGTCTATAACAGTGGTTCTCAACCTGTGGGTCGGGACCCCATTTGGGGTTGAATGACCATTTCACGGGGGTCGCCAAACAACGCAGTCAGCCATTTTTTTTCCTCCTTAGCTGTGCTACTCCCTTTTATTCTATTGGCTTTCAAAAGCCAATAGGAATTGTCCAGGCTGTCTCTGCCCTGCTGAGCCAGCCAAAAGTCCCATTCTGCAAACGGTGCTGCACCAGTTGAGTAGTCCTCGACTTATGACCGGTTGAGTAGTCCTCGACTTACGACCGGTTGGGGGTCGCGGCATTAAAAAGGTTGAGAACCACTGGTCTATACAATATTGCCATTTTTAAAAATCTGTTATGAGATTAGCCTTATCCTTTGTTACATAGGTAAGTAACTCCACAACCCATGAGCCATTTTCTTTCTTCTCCAAATGGGAGCTTCCAGACAGAAGGTGCCATTACACGTGGTTTACTAATTTTTCATATCCAACTGGATGGTCATTATGGAACAAGAATGCTGGATGAGGCCTTTCATTGATGCAGCAGTTACCTTATCTTTTCAAATCTCATGTAAGGGTTTTATATTCAACTTCTTATCTATTACTGTATTGGGCAAAATTAAAGAAGTACGAGCCTTGAGGTCACTTTTTATGGTCTTCAGGAAACTATTTAATTATTAGATGTACTTCTGTGTGCCCAGGATCCTAGACTCTGAATTAAAAACTACTTATTACAAAATTCCATAATAAACCACTACCATGCCAATATAACAAGTTGGCAAATTACAGTATAAATATTGTAAAACTAATCAATTCTCAAAATATGTAATAATAAAAACATATGGCCCAATTTCACTGTAAAACTAACACTATAATAAGAATTCCCCAATCAGATCAATCAATCCAAATCACTTCCCCATGCCTGCTTGAATAGAATAGTCTTGGCTGTCTCATGAAAGACCAATAGAAAATCAGGCAAACTTTCAGTAGCAAGGTATTTCACAGCTTCGATGCCATCACAGGGTAGAACTGGGTGTGGGCCCAAGTACCCCTGTCACTTCGACTGAACTCCAAGCATCCCTTCTGGAAATGTGCATGGAAAGAGCAGAATCACTTTGAGAATAGTTTCTCAAATACTTGGAACCAAGCCATCATTTTATAGGACAAAACTAGCACCCTTAATTGCACTTGAAGTTATTGTTAATAATGGGATTGCAAAACAATTACAATTGTTTTATATTGCAAAAAAAGTACACTAAGAATCCAACCATATTTTGTACCAACTGCTGTTTCTGGATTGTCATAAAAGCCCCACTGAGAGCATACAGTAATCTTTATGAGTCACTCAGTCCAGGTGTACTGTATGAGAGCATACAGTAATCTTTATGAGTCACTTAGTCCAGGTGTACTGGATGAAAGCTGTCCTGGCCATAATCTCCACCTGTTGTTTTAAGCAGGAGTCCTACGTGCAACAGAACCATCCAATTGTGGACTAGCTACTTCAGAGAAAATGCTACTCTGCACTTCAGAAAAAGTGCTATTATCTATTCTAGAATAATAACTACATCAAGATTACAGCTCTTATGTTTTAGACAAAGAACAGCTCTATTTGCTGAGATTTAATCTGAGCTTCTTTCATGCTATGAAGGAGCAACAGACTCCAGATCAAGACTTACATGGCCTAGTTTGGGATGGAAATATGCAGATGTTAAATAGCAAGGAGCAGAAGGCTTAGCCCTGTGATGCTGATTAGTGCAATCGTGGGTTCAATTGTTCCTTCTCCATGACTGATTGTAAGTAGAGATAGAACTACTAAAACCCACTGCCTCCCGCTCCCAATTTCTGTGGGCAGTCTACAAAGATTCTGTGCTTGATAGCATCAAAGGTGTCTAACAGGATTAAGAGGGATATCCTGCCTGCACCATCCAATCCTAAGAAAAATAATCAACCTGAGAGTAACCAACAGCATTTGACAATCATGACCAAGCCTGGATTTGATGGAAAGGGATCCAGATTATCTCTTTCATTATGACTTCCTGATTGAAATCTTACTATCTTCTCCAGAATCTTCACCCAAAAAAGGAAAGTTGAAAAAAACGTCGTCTAATGCAGTCAGATTTAGTGATGATTTCTTGAGGGGGGGGATTATTTCAAAGCTGACAACACAATCCTCTCTCATAAAGAGTACTAATTACTTTCCATATCCATATATAGCTGTCTCTACAAATGTTTAGGTAGCCAGGCAGAAGTGAGTTGAGCCACAGGTGGCAGAGCTCATACCACCTAGAACCCACCTTACCTACTTTTTCAGATTTTTCAAGATCATTCCAGATAATTTCACAGGCAGTTACCTCAATCATCTTAGATTATCCAAGTGGTGTCTAATCTATTATAATGAATAGGTTATTTTATCCATGAAGAATCTTGCAAGAACTGTTTTCAGTTACACTTAATTTTTGTTACCTATGAAAGACCACATCACAGAAATTACAAACATTTATTAGTATTCTTAGAGGTTAAATTAAAACATTGTTATAGGCTCAAATCTTGTTGGCAATTGTACAATTATTATATAGAGCAAACAAAATAGACAGAGCAAATAATATTAATAGATTATAACATTTCATACATTAATGGGTCCAGCCCATTCAACATTTGATATAACAATTCAAAGATTACAATGCATAATATTTAAGTTTAAACAAATCTGATTTTAAAAAAAAAAATGTGTACTGGATAGATTATATAACTACATAAGAAGCAAAGTGCCCCGTGCACTGAAATATTACTACAGTTGGTTATATTATATAATGAAAAACTATAATTAAATAGCATCGACCTGGATAATAGAAAAAGTCTGTGAATACTTAACAGAAAAAAGTAATTTGATTCTCTTGCTTGAGTGACATAATTCTACCATTTCAAGAAAGATATAAATTGTCATGCCATGTTATACTACAGAATAACAAATATCTAGCAGACAAGCAGGTATGCTACTTTATGGAGAAAGTGGGAATCAAACCTACTGGAAGTACAACTTTATTTCATTTTACCAATTCTTCTCACTCCAAAAAGATCCTTTATGAGTCCTTTTGGAATCTGAAGAAGTATGTTACATGATACATATTTAAGGATCTTATTTTCTCTACCTTCATTGTTTTGGAGGCAAAAATTGACTCTAGAGAATTATTTTATAGAAAACTTTTCAGTGGAACACCATAAAGCCAACTCTAAGCCTGAATAGTAGGGATTCACCTTACACACTACTCCAATTCTGATATGTGCAGAAGATTCATTGTCAAGAACTTTCTTCTGAATCTAATGGGTGACCCTCAGAAATTGTTAGTAGAAAAATGTTTGTTTGTGGCCCCATGTCTTTTTATTTTGTTTTGCTCACACAACACTCATGATTAGCTGAAACATAATTTCCTTAGTTTGCATCATATTTTCAGTTATAAATAAACCACATTTCCACAACATATTTTGGCCTAGCATGTTATGCAAATCCTAATGTAATCTGAAGTTAAGGATTGTTCTGTGATGCAAATTTTTCTCCTAGTTAAGAGGGATATGAAACATGTTCATTTCCCACTCAACTAAGAAGATTTGGATTTATTTTTATAGCAGGCTTTGTTTTGCTTCACCGTAAGTACAACACTAAACACAAAACTAGAAATCAAATTAATATAACCTGCCAACTTCTAAGTCAAGTTCATACATAAAAGTTAAAATGGGAAGAAAACAAAGCTGCAATTGAATGAATATATACTCAGGAAAATATCACATGGCATTGTATGGGCTTACTACTACATAAATAGATATAATATTGCCTTGCGATTTTTTTTGTCATCTATTCATTGAATTGTACAACTTCTGAAGTTTCCATTGTAAAATATTGATACTAAGCTTTGTTTTCTTTCCATTTTAACTTTTATGTATGAACTTTACTCTCAAATATTTTCTTTACTTATAAACCAACACACCGCATATAAAAGTAAATATTCGGCTGAACCTTTTCACTTTTCACTTTACTCTTCCACTAAATATTATACTGTTTTCTCTTTATTTTGTCAATCGTCTTACCATAGCAAAATTGAATATGAATTTTGGCAGAAAATTTCAACCCCCCAAAAGTTATTCACTAATTATTCTCAGGAAAAGATAATCACAATTTTCTTTTAGGCTATTATTAGGCAGTTATTCTAATTTGACTGTTCTTGCTGTCAAAAGAGCAGGGGTTTAGCTAACGAATCTGTACTGCATAACAGAAGAATGAACATTGAAGCTTCTTCATAGAAAAGTGCTCCTATTCATTCAAAAGGAGTTTTCAAGGACCTTTTTTTTGTAGCCGCCCAAAACATTATGTTGAAAATATTATTCAACATGAGCATCCTACAGATGGTAAAAAAATTAAATATCCCCCCTCATTTCTACATACAAATATTTTGTGCTTCCACAACTTCTACAAAATAACATCTAAATATGCAATTCTGTAATACCAAGCAATATAAATATGCTACTTCAAGCAGGTAATCAGACTAAATGACTTGATAATTCTTCTATGATTCTACCCAGTAGATCAGTATCATATATGCAGAATTAATTATGTACTATCAAGTCAGGATTGACTCTTAAGAGACCATACAGATTTTCTTCCATTGTATAAGTTTAAGGACATGAAAAAATGCATCTGTATAATTTCCTAATTGTCACTTTTTACTATTATAAACTTTTATGAAGGAACTTTTGTTAGTTTACTGCACATGTACAGGAAGCAACTTCAATGTATATGCAATTTATAATAAAGCATGAAATAAAATATATCAGTACTGTAATGGAATGTGTGAATAACCTTGGGGAAGATAATGCTGTTTAGGAAACAATCAGACAAGAAAAACAGGAGCCCCCAGTGCTTAACCAAGAAACTTAGTAAAGACCTGGATCAAGGAATTAACAGTGGTGGCCAGAAGTCTGTATAGTGGTACCTCTGTGTCGACTGCTTCAAAACTCGTTGAATTTGGTACGCAACACATCTTGACATAAAAATGTTGTCCTGGTACTCGTTGTTTGTTTGGTACTCAATGCACTGAGATTGTTAAAGGGGGTGGATGTGGAGAACAGACAGGAAGTTAGCCATACTGGGAAGGTCAGTGCAAAAGGAAGGAGTCAGTGACAGAAAGCAGACAGGAAATTGACCATGTTGGGAAGGTCACTGACATAGGAAAAGGGACAGACAGGAAGTCCTTCCTGGCTGAAACAAAGGATCACATGGTAAGTCACGTGGTTTGTTTGGCACTCGTCATTTTTAGTACTTGTCATGCCTCCCCAAACCATTTAACAATGAGTACCAAGGAACCACTGTATTTTCAGATTTATTAAGATTATATTAATGTAGCCTTACAATAAAGTAGAATTAGTTCATCTAGTCATCTGGAAATTGAGTCAAGGCACTGGACTTATTTTCCTGTTGGCTTGAGACATTTTGCTGCTCATCCAAGCAGCTTCTTCAGTCTGAACAAGTTGTTTCAAATGTACTGACTCTTCCTGCACCAACCTCAGGTTTCCTCCCCAAATTGCTTAGCGATTATGTTGATGCAGTTTCTCAGTCTGGAAATTGAAACATGGCATCTTGTCGTGTTTCCTGTCTGGTTTATCTGGGAGGGCTGACAGTACTGAGATCTTTCAATGGGTGGTTGTTTTTTTAATTAGCTTGGTATGGTATCAGCATAATATTCAATTTATCACAAAAAGGACTCAGATTAAAAAAAAATCTTGTCTGTATTGTTCTCAACTTCCTTGGACTCCACCTTGCATCTATATTGTTAATAAGTAAGAAATAGACAGATCAAAGATACAGATGCAGATAACTGCACTAAAGGTCATTATATTAAACTAAAGAACAAGGAAAAAATACTATAGAACTGATGTATTCAGACTGTCAGGCTAGTATTAAATTTTTTCAAATTTAAATGAATTTAATAGAAAGTGTATCCTGGTCTTTTTTGGCTTTTGGTGAAATGTCTGCTAGGTTTAACTTTTGCAGTATTTAGTATATCCAAAGCCTCTGCTTCTGTCTAACTTAAAGTGTTTGCATTTCAATGATTTTGCTTTTCAAATGCAGAAGCAACAGTTTAACATTTACTAGAATTGTTATTGTCACTAATTTTATCTGTAATGGATGCAGAAGTACCTCATTTATACCTTTAAAAATAATTCTAAAAGGTCATAGAAGCCAAATCCAGTAAAATAAAATGTTCTTCCTTCATTTGATTAAAGTACTACACATTATAATTCCGTAAAAATATACATGAGAAACATACTCAAAAATGCAAAAAAGATTTGTAAAAAAACATAAGGTATTGCTTCTTTAAAATACTCAACAGTTTAAACAGATTATTCCAAATAATCTGAGTCACTGTTTCAACTAGTTTACTGCTTAAATGGTTTACATAACTCTGTAGAACTCAGTGGAAGGACATTTTTCTCTCACTAATCCCCTCAACAAAGAATAGTGATACTACTGTTTTTAGAGAGTGTACCACGTCGTTGGCTTTCTGAAGTCTGTGGTTCAATAAATAAATGATCTTGTTTTATTTTCAAGTGCATCAAACCAGTTCTGGTTTGTTTAACAGCATCTTCGTGTTGTCTGAGCAGTCTGCTTCCTGAGTTTGATTGTTCCACTGTTACCATTTTCATGAGTTTCTAAAGGTGGAATCTGCCGGCCTAGAAATGTTTAAAAGCAAAACAAAAAACATATACAATGGTTAAAACCTTATGGCTTCTCTCAATGCTTGAAAATAGGGTTTTCTAGCTACAATATCAGATTTCCTATATGATATGGAAGGTGAATCCTATATTCTTCATTATGACCCTAATCAATTGCAGGATACTTTCAGAGACTTTATTTTGCTTTTTAAATCTTTATACTAAAAAATTATCTTGCAACTGGTAATGGAAATGGATTGAAGTTAAGCTCACGTGCTTTGCTTGTTTCGGGACCTATTCCCTCATCTTTTGATTATTCTATTGCTTGTTTTACTGCTTAACTGGTCAACATAAATTTTCTTTTGACTTTCTTATTTTTAAATCCAGCTTCATTGTTTTAATTATTACTCTGTGGTGGTAAATAGGTCCAAACTTAAATAGAGATAGGTAGGATACCCACCCAATCTCCGAAGTTTAACAGGAAGTATTTCAACAACTGTTAAAAGCTCATTTTATTTTACCACCACCCCAAAACTTAGCAAAGAAGGTAATAAGCAGGAGAGGAATATGAAGTTACTTATTTCTTCAAAAGCTCTTTGTCATGATTTACAGTCTTTTAGAAAGTCTGAATTCAGGAAAAAAAAACTTGTAGCATACAAAGTAAAACAGAACTTTTCAGCGATGCATATTTGGGTTTTGCTATCAGAACAGAGCACAGAATTAACATTCACATGAAAAAAAAAATATTCCAGATTGAGAATTCTGATAAGTTTCACACCACAGGTATTGCAAGTAAATATAGAATTTCAAGATTTTAATAGGATCTACAGTACTTCATAAAAATAATATAGAATTTTGTATAGTCTTTACTAATAGTCTTTAAAATATTTTTACAAGGAAAGATAATAATCAACAAAACAATGGTTACTGCAGAAAAGACCAAGGAAATTGTACATTCACAAACTAAAAGAATGAAAATCTCTACCATTTTAAAGACTTGGAATTTTGTAGAATTTCACATGTGTTCATTTAAATCAGTGGTTCTCAACCTTTTTAATGCCGCGACCCCCAACCGGTCGTAAGTCGAGGACTACTCAACCGGTCGTAAGTCGAGGACTACTCAACTGGTGCAGCACCGTTTGCAGAATGGGACTTTTGGCGGGCTCAGCAGGGCAGAGACAGCCTGGACAATTCCTATTGGCTTTTGAAAGCCAATAGAATTAGACTCTATTCAAGAGAGTCTATTCTATTGGCTTTCAAAAGCCAATATAATAAAAGGGAGTAGCACAGCCAAGGAAAAGGGGAAAAGAAAATGGTGGACTGCGTTGTTTGGCGACCCCTGTGAAATGGTCGTTCGACCCCAAATGGGGTCCCGACCCACAGGTTGAGAACCACTGATTTAAATGATACTCTTGCCTACATTTTTTCTGTTTTTTTACTCCTTTATTTACTTTATACTTAGCTTTTGAGAGTTTCTTTCTTCTCAAATTATTTTATTCTTTCATTCATTCAATTTCTATAACTTCCCAACTCAATAAAATGGCTCTGGGGAGCTTACAATTCTAAAATTATAAAACAATTTAAATAATTTTTTTAAAAAATAGAATAAAAACATCCACAAAATAAGTACCGTACTTTCCAGCATATAAGACGACTTTCGCAAGCGTTAAAATCGGGGCCGAAGTTGGGGGTCGTCTTATAGCCGGAAATAACGGTAGTTTCCGGCATATAAGATGACTTTCTAGGCATGCGACTCGACACCAAAGTCGGGGATCATCTTATACACCGGGTCACCTTATACACCGGAATATATGGTATAAACAACCACCATGATTAATGAACTAATAGTAAGCCAAGTAACACAGCCCTTAACACATTCCGAGCCCCAGGCCAAGGTATACAGCCAAGTTTTTTAAGCTTTGTGAAAAGCCAACAAGTTTGGGGCCAGTCTAGTCTCTGAGGGGAGAATATTCCATAAAGCAGGGGCTAAAGCAGAAAAAGTCCGTCTCCTTGTTTCCACCAATCAAAACTCTGGCTGACAGAATTTACAGCATACCCAGTCTGTTGGATCAGACTGAATGGGTGGAAACTCTGATGTTGTTATAAATGACATAACATATACCTAGAAAACTGAAGTTGAGTCCTGAAAGCAATATAAGACTCCACAAAATTAGAAAACATAACTTTGTAAAATTACTGCATGTGAAATATTTCACATGGGCTGTCCCTTGCTGCAAAAGAATAAAGATACAGAATATTTTAAATTAATGAGAACATTTATTCTAAAATAAGACAATTTAATGATGGCCATCTGGTTATATAAATGCAAGTTAGCTATTGTGACTGAATTACTTTAAGATTAAAAATTCACAAAATCTAAGGATTTCTAAGAAATCTAAGGTTTTCTAAGGATTTTTTTTTAAATGTTATCTAAAATCTTTTCTGAAATACCTGGTAACAAGAAACGGAGGAAAAGTGTACTTTTCCAGTGTTTAGCCGAGGACACCATGTTTAAATTGTGGGAATTCAGCAAGAGTACACTCTTTTCTCAGACTGCATTTCCTATAGAAGGTCAATTTTCATGAATCACTGTTGTTAATAAACAGGTGTAATTATATTCTATTATTCAAGTAACTTCCAGTTCCTTAGAGTAGAAAAAATGACTTCATCAGAGATTCATAATGACTTTCATCCACTGCTATATGGTGATAAGAGCACTAGGACTCAAAGACAAAAATGTAATTTGGAATGTGATTTTATAGGACCGGTCAAAAACATCCTAAAGCAAAAACAGAACGGTTCAAAGCCTGGGAAAAGTAATAATTGTTTTAAGGTGTTTTTGACAGGCAACCCACACAATCATGTGTGTTCTGAATTATGTTTCTTCCTTTGATTTTGCAGCATTGTTGTTTTAAACTATTGTGGCACTTCTGATGGATGGTACCTAATTCTTGATAGATGTACCTAATTCAGATGCCTTATAGATTTCATTGCTCCTAGTTCCCAGGAAATGTACTACATTGTTGCTTATTATTAAATTATCATGTGTACCATATAATAGTGTAAAAATCAAGAGGGGTCTCTGATCCTTGATTCCATTGCCTGTCTCGGACCTAATGTCTCAGTCATGCCACTGCTTGGCTCTGTCCAATTAATGGAACTTTTACCTTAAATTTTCATAAAACTTCCTTCAGAATATTGGAACAATAAATAAGAATGTCCTTTTAACCTTGTATCCTACCTATCTAAGATTGGGGAAAAAAATATTCCCGGATAATTAAATTATTGTATCTCTTTATATTACTACTGCTTGGGAAACAATTTTAATTGAATATTGAGGAACCCTCTATCAAAGCCTATTGTAAGAAGTGCCAAATTTGTCTCTGCAAAATGTAGTCTAGCCTGTAAGGAAATGAAAGATAGAAAATGATTTAGCATAGTAAAATATGATCACATATTTCAACTTAAAAAATGTAGACAGACACACAATGTCAGGGTCATTAATTATTACTGCTATAAAGCTGATCATACATATTGAATTATCTCATCTCAGCAGAAGAGTAAAAATGTAATATTGATATTTTTATTTAGTCAAGCATTTGCACTATATAAAACAGCAACAGTTTTTCTTATCTGGAAGACTAACTGGCATAATAGAATAGGATTTTGAAAAATCCTTTATGAAGACTTAAGAGGAAATCAAAGTATGTCATTTATGACTCAATGAATCTTGCCTATATAATGAAGTAGGATTAGATATTCCTTAGATCTTTCTCCAGACCTTCAGTTCTACAACACCAAGCAAAGACTGGTTTATCCTATATACTTTTTATCATATAGATTATTTTTCTTATCTTATAAATCTTTAAAATATTAATTCCTGAATTTATAAGAAAAATACTACATTCTGAATTAGTATGATGTGAATTAGTTTGAATAATACCTATCTAGAAGTATAACTATGATTCTCTGTGAAACAATTATCTCTTTCATTGTTGTCCTTTCATGACAAATAAACTGGGGCTTCAGCAAAACAGTGACCTAAATAACAAAACTTTAAGTTGTACAAGCTTAAATATGCAAAAACAAGTTCTAAGTTTACTTACTGATTGCTTGAAAGAGTTCTTCAACGTTAATTGCATTTTTGGCACTAGTCTCAACAACAATTGCACCTATAGAGTCTGCATATTCTTTGGCATCTTTCATAGGCACCTCCCTAAAATGAAGTTTTAGAAGTTTAAGTTGTGCAACAGAACGTTTGATTCAACTATATTATTCTTCATAATTTGAGCACAGTAGATTCTCATTTCTTGTTTCTCATATGAAAAACATAATTAATTCTTGTTCTCCTGAAATCTGCAGAAAATGGAAAGAGGCTGTATAAACAAAATTCTTTTGTTGTACAGTGCCATACAGCACAAAATCCATGAGTGTTTTCCAACAGCATTAGGATTTGTGTACCTTTCTTTCTAAAGAAATTATGACTGTAACTTCCAGATGTCCCAGGCGTTGGGCCTATTTATTACACATTTGTTCCATAAGTGGCTTACCGTATATCAGAATAACAATACATTCTTTAAGATGTATTAAAAAAACTCAATAAGAGTTCAGTTAATAAATTAATGAACATTTTAAAGGAAAATTGAAAGCTACTTATTACATAATTAATTGATCACTGAATAAAAAGTCTTTTATTTTCAATTATTTTTCTTTGCTCAGTTTTGAAATAACTCAATTCAGGTTTAAATTTTTTACAAATATTTTCCATATGCAGTGTTTTATAGATCTTTGTGTTAAAGAAATCAGATAATTTATGTGTTGTATGCTAATGCATTTTTGCAAACAGTAATATGTAAAAACATTCCTTACAGAAACCTTTCAAAGCCAGCAAATGCTGTTCTAGAATGATCCATGTATAAAATCCATCTTGATATTCATTTAAATAAAATTTAATATTTCATTTTGAGAGATTAAGAATTCCCCATGTTTCATATAAATCATAAACTATTGGAAGTTTAATATTTGATTATGTTTCACACTTTCCTTTTTCTTTTTTATTGAGTTCTTTTAAGTCCAACCTACCAACCTACCACACTGATATTCTATACATCACATTTTTTCAATTTCCTTTGTATTTTCTACAAGAATGCAACTGGTACTTGGTTCAGTAAACAAACTAGTGAAAAAATGTGTACAATTCCACAAGCCTTATATATTTTTTAAAAAAAATTTTGGGTTTTTTTTTATAAATTTAAAATTAATAATCTTGATAAAAATAATTTACCTTGATTTATCTGAATCTGGAGCAAAACATTATTTGCCATACTACTGACGTCTCAACTCTAATAACATTCCATCTATATTATATAGATGCATAATTACATAGTTTTTAAAGAAAGTTTTAGCTTTGTATACTCCTCATTTTGATACTACTTTAAACATCTCCACCATCAAAATAAACTACAATAATCTTTCCCTTTTATACTCTCCCACTAAAAATATTTTCTGAACTTTTATCTCTCAAATGCTTTAATCTCTTCCAGTATTATGAGAACCAGGATAATGAAAGAAACCATCTACCCTACATGGAGCTAACACTAAATTAAAATTGATCTAGATTAATGTTTATATTAAGTTAACACTGAAGTATTTTGTAGCTTTATAGTATGTAGTTTCATAAGAGTTACTGCTTCTGGTTTTGATTTTCAAGTTTGGTTAGAAGTCTTTCCTACTCTTCCTCTTCTTTTTACAAGTCTAAATATAGTCAAGCTAATCAAAACATGAAAAAAGGATCCTTTGCCCAAACATCAAAAATAAGATTATTTAAAGCCTTAAAATTCAATATTATTGTTTTAAGCTTAGATTAATAGACATAATTTTAAAGAACTTAAAGCAATAAAAATGTTAATGACTTATGAATACACAAAGGGCTTCACTGTGCCTGAACATCAAATGGCAGGAAATCATGTGGTTCCATAAAAAAAAACAACACGGAATTGTAACTATATGGTTTTGTTCCTACCATTTGATTACAGTTTGTAACAAAATATCATGGCCTGCAACTCTTAATTTGATAAAGCAAATGCTTGAGAACGTGCTATAAGACTTTTTATTCCTTTTCATTATTATTTCTAAATGTTCCTCTAAATATATTGACTAAGATAAGATATAAGTCAAATCCTGATCAACTATGAAGTAAAGGACTTCATACAGTTGTTGTGGTTAAGGTGTGGAACTAGAAGCAGCGAAAAAAATGTTTAGCCCTCATTCTACTACACAGCTCAGCGAGGAACGCTGGGCTAGCCCCTTGTTCTTATTCCAACAGAGGTTTGTTGGTGTGAGTATAAAATTAGGGAAAATTCATATTGTCATTTTGAGCAATAGTTTATAAATGAAATATAATGTATTACAAATATGGAAATGTTTATTCCTGAAACCTGGATCCACACAATAAATTCTGATAATATAATTTATGTTTTAACACAAAATATTTTCTGCTCTAATTTTTAGTTGGGTTTATTTAAGGGATTGTCCACCAATTATCCTAAAATTTACTCTTGCTTTTCAAAATGCGTAGAAAGCTATATGTAACTAATTGAAAAGTGGGAACCCTTTCCAGTGGTTATAATGAATTGGATTATTGAATATATATATATATATATATATATATATATATATATATATATATATATATATACACACACCTTCTTACTGTGTTTTGCGTTTGAATTTTTAATAGTGGTTTTAGTACAAGTACATGATTATTTTATATATACAATACATACATGTTTTTTAATTGTTGTGACTACCCAGAGTCCCATATGTGAAGGAATTAGATAATTAATTAATAAGTAACAGGACTAGTTGTTCTATAGTATATGTGTTAATCAACTACTAAAACTTTGTCTTATGCAGAAAATAATTCATTTAAAAGAAGTTGAGTTCACTGGATTTTTATATAATCTATCATTAGCAATAGATTTAAAATGTTCCAACAAAAGAGGTATGTTATTAAAAACAAACTAGAAGTTTGTTCCAATATAAAGTTTATATACAATAACAAATCTGTCTCGGTGATTAGAGAAGTTGTTCCCCCAGAAGAAAGTTAACAAATATATATATATAAAAAAAATTGTAGTCATCTATATAATCACAAATAGGGACCACATCCAGGCTAGAGTTTCTGTGTATTGTGACCAAAGCAAACAAACAGGGAGATAAACAAGGGAATTTTGCATGGGAGCCCGACAGAGGAATATGCAAGGAGCCTCCAAGGACCATGGACAGAACTGACAGTCTGTAGTGATACAGAAGGTATGTGCAATGTTGGTTCCCCTCCCAGGAGATAATTCAAGTTACACGTAGTGGAGATGCAGATCTGAGATTTTACTGGAGGAATAGTTGAAAGAACTTGAGGAAAAGCTCAAGTTTGTTTCTACGCAGCAATGCTGAGGAAAACTATGAAGGCCTGAACATGGTTTGGAGACAAATAACAGAAAATGAACTGTTACCCTTCCTAACAGTGTGAAAGGGATGGTAGGAAATGATATGGTACATTGGCAACATAAAGGCATTGTTATAGGATTAAATGAAAATATCCAGCAAGACAGAATTCTAATAGTATAGAGCTATGTTTTCCAAATTTGGCAACTTTAAGGTGCATGGACTTCAGCTCTCAATATTTTCAAGCCAGCATGCTAGTTGGGGAATTCTAGCAGTTTAAACTCCACACATCTTAAAGATATCAAGTTTGAAAAACATTGGTATAAAGGAAGGCAGGGCACCACAGTGAGGTCATGCCCAAATATTTTTTTAAAGGCATCCCAGTTTTGAGAATTGAGTTGTGAATAAATAAAACAATTTGGACAAAAAAGTAGACAAGGCCAGAACAGTAAAAAAAAAAAAAAAAAAGTTTAAATTTCAGTAGTATACTACTACTATTATTTTGAAACTGTAGACATGTTTATTTCTTAGATTCAATACATTTCAACAAATAACATTTGTTATTATTTGCATTGGTTTAATTTTTTAATTTTAAAAATATTATAAAAACGGTACTTCTGTATTTGTCATACTGTAGAAAAAGCAATGGAAAACTGCAAAAAGTAAATATATCAGAATATATACCTAATATCAGAAAGGTCACACTTGTTTCCAGCAATAGCCATTACAAAGTTTTCAGGACCATGTTCTTTTAATTCTTTTACCCATTTCTTCAGTGTATGAAATGAATCCTAAATTAAATACATAAGTCAAAAGGAACTTTTGAAATATTTGAAAACAATGTATAAAACCTATAATGGTACAAACAATCTAAAATACCAAGCAAAATGAGATATATGTTTGTATCATGCACAGCCAGCCAACAAATGTTGTATAGAGATACCCCATGACTCATAACAGTATTTGTTCATAGTAAAATATATGCATCACATGCTTCCTCCCTCTATATATTCAGAATATGTATGTATGTATGTATGTATGTATGTATGTATGTATGTGAGAAATAAAGAAAGCACTCATGTTTTTGGAACATGCTTATTAATGAAAGGCTTGTTCAAAATAAGTAATAATTAACATCTTCAAAAGGAACATTTGGGGCAAAAAACTGTAGCTATATAATCCAGTTTTTAATTAGACAAAACTTACACAAAAATGTTCTGGGAATCAAAAATACATATTCAATTTTTCAGTATTTTGCAAAAGGTAGCAAAGTATGGGATATAAATAAAAAGAAATGCTAGTGATAAGTGTGTGTGTGTGTATACACACACATATACATACACACACACATGGTACATACACACACATTCTTAGCTTACTCAGCAGATTGAGAAAGAGAGACTTGAAATACAGTAAGGCTAACTTATCATATTTTAAAGCAGGCAATCTAATTTGTATTGCTGTCTATCAAAATCAAAATTGATGTTTAGTTGCAGTATCAGATTATAACACACTTTATCAAAGAATAATAATGAAGTTTAAAATACAGTACAGAATGAATAAATAACAGAAAAAATGCAAATTTATGATTACGAATAAAGTTTAGTATTTATAATAAACATTGTGACATTAAACTTTATAACTACAGTAAGACTTAATCTAACAGTATATATTCAAAAATGTGGATTGTCTGATCCTCTAAATAAATAAATAAATAAATAAAGCAAGCAAGCAAGCAAGCAAAAATGGCCATGATAACCAATATAACAAATCACATCAGCAAATCTTTTAGTAAATTCAGTTTCAGAACCTGCAAATGTATCAATATCCAAGCCCAGTATTTATTGTATCATAAATCTTATAATGTGGTTTGTAATATTTGCTATCTTTAACTGCAGGCAGAGAGCAACTCTTCTACGAAGCTTACCTTTGAAATATGCAAAAATTACTGCACTGGTTAATGACCACAATAAAGTTAAATATGTTAATAAATGTCATGCTTTAATAGAGCACAGAAGAGTGGGTAAGTACTGTAAAATTAATCTGCTTTTTCTAAAATGATAATAACATTTAAACATTTCATATATTGCACCAAACTAGCTATGTCAGTTATCATACCGCTCAAGGAAGTCATAGAATTTTTTTTCTGTGCCTAGCAAGAGAAGAAATATATGCCTCAGTGTATTTTTGAATTTGTTTCTTTTCCAGTAATATGAATAAGATTTTGTTAATTTATTCTAGTTAAATCCTTATCTTTGTCTATTCTTAAATCAGTAGCAAAAGTGCCTTGAGTGAGACACAGAACTTTTTAAAGAAAATTAATTCTTGGAATTATTTTCTCATTTCTACATCCACCCAGTGCAAAATGTTTGTACTGCAACTATGCTATGGTACCTCAACGTGGCCATGTTGTGTGTTTGATATGTGTTCTTTGGACATTGAATGAAGCAGGCCAGGAGTATATACCCAAAGGGTACTTCTATCAGGGGCATCCAAAGCACAAAGCTCACCCAAGTTGTTCTGCTAAGGTAAGCAGGTACCCATATTGGACAGCATTAATATAGGAAGGTGATGCAGGCTATGATCACTTTAATGACAATGGCAAAGGCATAATTTCATACTATCTGAGAGAAGATAACCACTCATACTTTACTAAGAAAGTCACAAAAATAAAAAGATTGTCAATGTTGTGCTGGATAATAGGCCCCTCAGGTTAGGTGACACTCAACATGCTACTGAAGAAAACTTGAGGATTTTTCAGAGTATGTGTATGACAGATTAAAGCCTTCCAGACATCAAATTATTGATGTTTCAATGCAGAAAAAGGAAAGCCAAAGGTGCAAAGACAGAATAACAATGGGAACATGTAAGAAGCATGAATATGGGGAAGCTCAACAACAAAAAAATAATCAACTATATATTGACATCTTGGACAAATTTGAAAGTTAGACAGAAAACCATACTGTTTTCTATTCAGCCCATGAGAAACAAGAAGGAACTATGTAGTACATTTCATACAAGTCCTCCAAGCAATTTTTTTTTTTTTTGTAGTTATGGGCATTTGTTGATTTTCAGTGATAGAGGAACTCACAAAGATCAAATTTTGCAAAGTGAATTTCCAAATTGAGAAGCAGGACTCTAAACCTGCCTGAAATGAATTTGACTATTTTATGAAGTGACACAGCAAAGTTCACACTGCATTTATGTGAGCAATGGACAAAAACATCTGTTTACAGCCCTTGGAGCATTTAATAATATGTCTGCTGAAATTCAGCAGAAATAATGTAAAAAGTAGTGTCCCAAAGTACACAGTGTCATATTTAAAATCCCTCAATCTCAAACGATTGCCTACCCCAGTTTAAAAGATTAAAATAAAATAACGTATCTTCTAATTATCTTGATTTAATACTATCTCAAAATCTTATGAAAATATGACTTATTAACTTTTATGCTGGATTGTTCTCTAAGTCAACACAGTAGGATGCTGACAGAAAAAAACACAATGAGCAATTATTAAGTTGGATTTTTGAATAAATGTCAATAATGGGATAATAGTAAGCTCACCTGCTTAGTTATGTCATAAACTATAACAGCTGCTGCTGATCCACGATAGTACATAGGTGCCAGTGAATGAAACTATGAAATATGGGACAAAAAAAAAGTCAGAACGTTATATCTTGCATTTATGTAAATCAGAAATATACAGCAGTGTTACATTCATGTCTCTTCTTTCTCTCTACCCTTCCTCCCATATTTACTTATCAAACAGCTGTAAGTGATTGATATCAAGTAACAAAAAGCATTAAAATAAAATCATAGCACCCAGAATACTTTCTCCTATGCAATGAGGTAGGTCAATCCTCATTAACCCCACGTGCTTTCCTGAACTGTGATTTTCAAGACTCTTCTGAAGCTCCATAAGGAGGTTAACAGTCTGAACATCAGGGACAAAGTGTTCCACAGAACGGGTCTACCACTGAGAAGACTCAACATGAAGATTACTATAGGTGGCACTCTTTAAGCGATGGGATCTTAACAAGCTTCTCTTCCAGATTTTGCAGAACAGATAGATCCAGCTCAGAGTAGAAAGTCCTGAAGGTATTTAAACCCTGTCCATTCAGCTTTTTAAAAATGGTAACATTGATAGTCAAAACTCCTCCTAAAATAGTAGTATCGCATTGATGGATCTAGATATGCCTACAGCTGTCTTGGCCCTTGATCTATCCTGGGAAAAGGGTACTTTCCCTTCCTTCAAACAAATCTTTCATGATGAAGAGAGAATGATATGTACTCAAATAGACAGAAAAGGAGTGAAAGAGATAAAGAATAGCTGCACCTGTGAGTGCATCCCTTAATCCAGTAGTTTTAAGATTACCTGTTCCTGCCATATCCAAGGATTACAACCAGTATCTTCTAGCCTAGACCCATTATCATTTTAAGAGCAGCTGTTCTATGGAGAGTGTAATTCTTGCTAGACTTGCCAGAGCTACAGTTCTAATTTTATGTAACTCAAGGAAGCACAGATTATTTTTCAAGCTATAGAGCAGGGGGTGTCAAACTCGCAACGTTATATGACGTGTTGCGACATATTGCAACTTTTTCCACATTGCCAGAGCTGGAGTGGGCGCAGTTTCAGCATGATGCATCCGGCCCACGGGCTGGCAATTTGACACCCCTACTATAGAGCTTGCTAAATAATCAAAAATTCAAGAGAAGGTCAGAGAAAAACATCTTGCCATTCTCTTGCTCTCTCTCTCTTACACACACACACACACACACACACACACACACACACAGAGAGAGAGAGAGAGAGAGAGAGAGAGAGAGAGAGAGAGAGAGAGAGAGTCAGGCATGAAAGATCAGGCCCACATGTAAAGTTCCAATTAAACTAATGTATCACTTCTCATGCCTATGCACAGGAATGTTCTCAATAATAGTTAGCACCTGCTTGGAGTTAGATAAGTGTCAATGGAATTCAAGGGAGGTTTGACCTTAGTTCGGTTGTGGCTCAAACTGTAATGGAAGGCTTAGGAACAAGATGTCATTAAATGAAATAAGAACTTTACTTGCTATTATTAAATAAAACTATATTAGCAAGGGGAAAAATTATCTCAACCATGATATTAATTAAGTACAGAGCAATGTACCTACTTGATCATACTGTAACGATTTATACATATACATATAAACAAGTTAGCATTGTTATATTAGTAGTGACGTAATCCCTCTCTTAAGTAACTTTCCAAACTTCCAAACAATATGGTCAACTGATAAGCTGAACAGCAATTCTATCAACAGGACAAATGGGTTTGAATCAATTGCATGATGTAGCAAATAAAAAGGCTAATACAATGCAAGCAGTCCCCTTCACACCATAATGAGATAAATGGCTGGCTGATTGCAAGAGGTCAATCATCAGATTCCACTTCAGCCCACCAAAAGACAGCAGAACTGAACCAATTTTGAAATCGATGAAAGTACAATGGATTTTAAAGATACAGAAGAAAATTCAAGTTTGTATTGCAGGTATAACTACTTCATCTCCTTTACTTTGAAACCAGTTGCAGGAAATAAGAACATCATGTCTGCAATAGGGTGAGAGAAAGACATGGAAATAGTTCAGAGATTGGGCCATTAGCTGAAGCCTAGAAGATCCTGAGAAAGCAGAAATTAGAAGTTTCTAGTGGTTCAACATTTTTGCCTTTCCAGAAAGCTGGAACTAGAATTGACTGCATATTATTGTGATTCTGAAAGCTTCAATCTATTAATGATTTAGTGCTCTATTTGCTTAATCTCTATTATACAATCGTTTCTGTCAGAACAGGGAAAACTGGAATATCTTGAATTGATGATTTAGTCTTATCCTTCTATACCACACATCAAGACACAGAACTGGCAACTTAAGCTAGTAGAAATAATTAATTAGTTGGGAAGAGTATTTCTTCTTTCGAAGCTACAACACTAGAGTATTTGTTTGGGCATGGGCAAGCAGGAACAGGCTGTTGCAAATGATGCACAAAATTCTTTATAGTCCTGGAGGTGCTTTTTCAAGAGGCAACTGGACTTTCTTGTTTTTTCTTTGAAGACTTTTCACTTCTCATCCAAAAAGCTTCTTCAAGTCTGACTGGATGGTAGGGAATGGAAGGATTTATATTCCTTGCAGACAGCTGGTCATTTGCATTCTTTTAGAGCAGTGGTTCTCAACCTTTTTAATGCCGCGATCCCCAACCGGTCGTAAGTCGAGGACTACTCAACCGGTCGTAAGTCGAGGACTACTCAACTGGTGCAGCACCGTTTGCAGAATGGGACTTTTGGCGGGCTCAGCAGGGCAGAGACAGCCTGGACAATTCCTATTGGCTTTTGAAAGCCAATAGAATTAGACTCTATTCAAGAGAGTCTATTCTATTGGCTTTCAAAAGCCAATAGAATAAAAGGGAGTAGCACAGCTAAGGAGGAAAAAAAATGGCAGACTACGTTGTTTGGCGACCCCCGTGAAATGGTTGTTCGACCCCAAATGGGGTCCCGACCCACAGGTTGAGAACCACTGATTTAGAGTGTCGCTGAGACCATTTGGAGCAGTGGTTCTCAACCTTTCTAATGCCGCGACCCCATAATACAGTTCCCCATGTTGTGGTGACCCCCAACCACTTATACATCACCGGGTGCCAGGGGCGTGGCCAAAGAAAAGGGGGGAAAAGGGCGGACAGCCTTGTCTGGCGACCCCTGTGAAATGGTCGTTCGACCCCAAATGGGGTCCCGACCCACAGGTTGAGAACCACTGATTTGGAGGTTTATATATGTCCTCAGGGTCACCTGAGTAGTGCAAATGTGTGTAGAGCCTTCTTGGCTGCAGGATGGTTTCTGCTCTGTGTTCCTTCACTGTTGAAGACAGGCACAGGCTGTTGGGGATGAATCTGTGTTGTCAATATCTCAAACTGACTCTTTAATGGCTGTCTAAAAGAATGCAAATGATCAGCTATCTGCAAGGAATATAAATCCTTCCATTCCCCACCATCCAGTCAGAGCTGAAGAAGCTTCTTGGATGAGAAGCGAAATGTCTTCAAAGAAAAAACAAGAAAGTCCAGTTGCCTCCTGAAAAAGCACCTTTGGGACAACCATGACTAGATGACTGAGAATCTCCATAGACAAAATTCTTTATAATATTGCAGTTCAAGATTTTAATGCATTGTTGATGATCCAGTTTGCTCAGCAGATTCAACAAATCTGAAGATTGGGATGCTTTTAAAGATTTTAAACAGGGTAGGACAATAGTAGTCCTCCATGGAAGAAGACAAAATTTAAAAATCCTACGGTAGTAATTTGGAAAGGCAGACTGGAGAAATTTTGAATATGTATACAAGAAATTATACTTAATGTCTTTAGGTGGCTAAGATGGAACTTCATCGATTACATGCTTTTGAAATGGAAGACCCATTAATGTGTATTAAGGAAACCTACTGGGAATGGAGAAAACCCCCCAAATTGTTTATTGCATAAGCCATGCCAGTGGTAGAATTCATTTTTGTAACTAAAGAATTTAGATTACTGTGATGTTTAAAACAATATAAACATACCATGCCTTCTTACCTTCAGTATGTTACAGATGCTAGTTCCCCCTGCTTTATTAACAATACAGAATACGGCATGCAATTGTCTTTAGATAAAAGACTCATACTCACTCTCTCCTGACCTGCTGTATCCCAGATCAGAAATTTATGAAGCTCATTCCCACAAGGGACTGTTTTAGTCATAAAAGAAGCTCTAAAATTTGCAAAAAGAGTTGCACATTGTTTAAAAATAAGCAGAGTTTACATTAAATTACTGTGCATGTATTTAAAAAAACATTTTTCAGGAATCTAATCTTCACAAGAAAACAAAGCATTTCTCCTTAATGTTTTGAGAAATAGCAAACATTTTACAGATATTTCAGGCAATCTAAAAGTTAACATAATAATGCATATATGTGCAGCATTATTTTTAAATAGGAAAATAAGTTATTGTTTTCTAGAAAGAATTCACATTTGTAAAATTTGAGATACTAGAAGAATTAATGAAGATGAATGATATAGTAGCCACTTAAACCACACTATCCTATCTTGTTAAAATGTGATGAATTACAAAATGAAATTGTTCTTTCAAGTGAAGCAAATACATGCCTAGGAAATTTCAGCTGATCCATCCTAAATATTATAATTTGATTTTCAGTAACATTCAAGTAGATAAGGAGAGATTAAATAAAACAGTAATCTTTATTCTAAGCTATATTTCATTCTAAACAATAACAACAACAAACAGATTCATTTTTTTCCTGCATGGTAGTATTTAAGATTTCCTGCATAAATTATTATCATCATCATCTAGATAATTATTTCCCACTTTTTCAATTAATTATATAAAAGTATAAATGGAATACTAACTGTAATTGGACAAAGGTCAAGTCCAACACTTTTAGTTTGTGGATGCCTAAGACTCACTGTTCTTATCCCTCCTGTTTAACATTGAAGTGGTAACTAAAGCATCATTAGGCAGACATCATTAGTAGGTTGATGATACTCAGCTGCATATTTCAACGCCTGGTTGATCAGTGTTGCTGTTGTCACAGAATCTGGAAGCTGTTGAGATCTGGATGGGAAGGAACTGACCTAACTCTGACAAGTACAAGTAACTATAGCTTTATGATTTTTCCAATATCAGATATTTCTATCTTTAGTTTTGAATAAAGTTGTATTTTCCATACAAAAGTGGTTTGTGATTTGACAGTCCTTCTGAATGCACAGATCCTGCTCAAAGAATAGGTAGTGACTGTGGCCAGGAAGTCCTTTGCACATATTGACCTGATGTGCCAAGTGCCCCTTTCCCTTCACTAGAAATTTCTTCTCACAATCACTGATGCCTTAGTCACATATACATGGACTTCTACAATGTGTCCTGTATGGGAGTGCCCTTGAAGCCCACTTAGAAGCTTCAGCTGGTCCAGAATTCAATAACACAAACTTTCATGGGCCTGCCTCAAAACACTGATGTAACATCTCTGCTATGTGAGCAGCACTGGTTACCAATGAAGTTCTGGATGCAATCCAAGGTGCTCATTATCATCTGTAAAGTTCTTCAGGGCACAGGGCCTAGTTATTTGAGAGATTGCCTCTCTGTCATTGTTTTCTGCCCTTGTAATACTAAAAACAAGTTCTGTTTCTAAAGTAAAAACAAACTTTGGTACATCCATTTGAAATACTATATATTTGTTTCCTTCCTCATTGTTTGTTTGTTTGTTTGTTTCAGCGACAGCGGTTGCTTTGGACAGTTGTCTAGATTCACTATTGAGCCTGTCAGCCTTAGAAATGTGAAGTATAAATAAATAAATTTTAAATGAAAAGCACTTTTCAAAACTATGGGTTTAAATCAGAGTTGTCAATGATTTACAGAAAAAAAATGTAACTATACATCCAAACCTTCTGGAGAGCCATAAGAAGTCATCTTATGGCATAAAGAGACAATTTGATATAGTGGTTAAAACATCAAGTTAGAAATTGGGAGGCTGCTTAGGCATGAAAGGCATCTGAGTGACTTTCAGCCTTACCAACCTTACAGGATTGTTGTTGTGGAGAAAATAGGAGGAGGAAGGAATATTAAATATATTACCACTTTGAGGTATTTATAAAAAATAAAAGCAGGATAAAAACATATAACAAATAAGTGTAATTGTAATAGGCGAGATCAATCCACTTTTCAGAATTTTAAGAGTGGGAATGGGAATAGGAGAAAATTCCTCTCATCTCTACCCTTAAAAATATACAATCCCCTACCCCAAAATAGGCCTAAATTGCTTGGTTTGGGTAGTGTTGTGGAAGTTGTAGGAGCTCAACAAACAGATTGCAGAAAAATTTAAGTACTTTGCAATTGGCGTTAATAGGAGAAGGTGGTAACATGATCACTCAATAACATTCCATGTTAACATAAGGACAGAATCTGTAGTATCTATACAGCTATCTTGAATAATGAACTTTCCCTACTTTAAATTACAAAAGAATTCATTAGTGTTTATTTAGCTTAACTGTACATGGTACTTACCCAATAGTAGGGCTAATATTGTGGTCAAAATGATCCTGAACAAATCGACAAACTATACTTGATTTGCCAACTCCAGTATCCTAAAATTTAAGAAAGGAAGAATCAGCCCAAGATTGTCCTGAACGCTCATCTGTTTTAAATGAAGAAACCCCTAGGTATAGGGTATATTTACTTAAGAGACTGAACTCTATTTTGTAAGTAAATGGCTGAACAATATCAGAATATGGAAATGCTGCACCATTAGTTCATCCAGTAATAGGGAATCTCCCGAAGCGGTTGCCAAAATTTTCATAATTAGGCCCAAAATAGATGCGTGATGGGGAAAGTCAGATAAGCACAACTTTCAGTCTCAGGAAATAATACATCAGACTAGCATTTGACAGAGATGAGAGAAGGTATAAGAAACAAAAAAACAAAAAAGAAATTTCATTTGAAAGCCTGGCCTGGATATAGGAAGCCAACAGATTCTGTTCTATCACAAAATTTCTCTATTACTATTATTGTTCTTCCCATTAATTCTGAATACATACCTTCTCTGCCAACCAACATTGAACCATGTGTTAGAATACTGACTTTTGCAGAGATGATTATTTCCCAAGGCTAGGATAGTTGTATTTTTAAATATATTTAAGACCAATTTAAGAGAGCCAATTTGATGTAGTGGTTAAGGCATATTAGAAACTAGAAAACCATGAGTTCTGGTCTTTCCTTAGGCAGAAAACCAATTGGGTTACCTTGGGCCAGTCAATCTCTCTCAGGAAAAGAAAGGAAGAAAGTAATGGCAAATCACTTCCAAAAACTATTTCCAAGAAAACTGCAGGGGCTAGTCCAGGCAGTTGTCAGGAATCAAATTGATTCAAAGATACACACATAAGCACACAGACCACAAATTTAACAAATTCTAAATAGTAATTCTGGCAAAATATTATTATCAAATTCAACATATTCCATTGATATCTTATAAGTTGTTGAAATGATTTGTACATAATTTATTTTAAGATCTTTGGGGTCCATACCAATGCATCCTGCATGCTCCATTCATGTATTAATTGGAAGTACTGTAGATGTATTTGTCTGACTCTAGGAAAATCTTTAGAAAGTTTGGCAGATAGATTGGGTAAAATTTAAAATGTGTCAAGCCCCTGGGCTTGCCATGGGCCGGGAGTTGGGGAGCATGCAGCCAGACGCTGCGGGTGCCGTCCTCAGAGGAGACAGAAGCCAGGAACACTCCTCCTACCAGTTGGACAAGGGACTAGATAAGCAGGAGGGAGGGATTGTGCCTTACTTTGGCTGCGTCTCCCTTCCTCCAGCTGCCTCGTTATCAGAACAAATGGCTGGGACGGCAGAGGCTCCGTGGGTATGTCTGGAGGGGGGGGGAAAGGGTAGTGCACTACGCCTATTATCCATACGGACCGCATGCTGGCTTGCTAAGTGGGGTGGGGTTGGTGGGTGGAGCACAACTATGTAAAACACTGGGAGCAATTCACTCCCAGTGCTGACTTTTCTTTTGCATAAAAGTTTGCTGGTCACCTGTTCCTTCTGTGTTTGGAGTTTATCAGCAGCTGGCACACGTCTGTGTGGAGTAGGCAGGAGTCTATTTTATTCCTTTGCTAATAATCTAGTCAATTCCTTAAAATTAAAGTCGATGGTGTTCCGTTGAACCATGCCTTTTGCTCATTTCTAAGAGTGAAATACTCACTCTGTGGCATATTGTGTACTATGGATTAATATATGCTTTCCTGTTGCTATTCTTCACTTTTCAAACTTAGGGTAGACAACATTTTGTTTAGATGGAATAAAACAATGTTTAACTTATCAAAATTCAGATATGTTCATTAAAGTGTTGCAAGTTCACATTTTTTTCTTTCTGTAATCAACAATTTGTTTCATTAGATAAAATTAGCCTTGCTCCAGAATTTGATAACAAGTAAAATGGCTAATATATTTATCCTAAAAGAAATTACTTATACATAGGTATCAAGGATATAAAATTTCCAGTTAAACATAGTATGAATATTTTAGATGTAATTCAAACTGAAAAGATGTAGCAAATATCACTTATGCATTCTGTGCATAATTGTCAATATGGAATCTTGCTGCATCCATGCAGTCACTTATCTTGCCACAAGTGAAAGCTTTAAACTCCTTGTTCTGCTTGTGTTCTTGATTCCTTCACTTGCTCAGGTATGTGGTATACATGGAGATGTGTATGTAAAGTGTTAAGGAAATACGTTATGTATGTAAAATGGTAAAAGAAGAGCCAATAAATACATAAAGAAATTACATTTCCTCTTATTGCCATTCCAAAAAAGCATTTAATCATTATCAGCTGACTGGATATCAGCAATTGTACAATTTTTTCCCATGATTTTAACCACATTTCCAAGTTCTGCTATGCTCCTTAGAGAAAGTGTCTGAACACAGCTGTCAATAACTGCAGCTTGCAAACTGACTATTTTTATTGCATTCAAGGACAATTCTAGAACAGTTATTGGGAATAAAACTTAAATGACTGCCATTCATGATCTTTCTCTAACAATGTAAAAAATCTTTACTGAAAGTTATCCTTGGGGATAAAGAGAAGAGAGAAAATGGCTTAAAATTAGAGTTCCTTCTGCAGAGGTGGGGAACTATGGCCCCTTTATGACTTGTGGACTTCAACTCCCAGAATTCCAATTCTGGGAACTGAAGTCCACAAGTCATAAAAGGGTCATAGTTCCCCACTACTGCTTTATAGGATAGATTTTCAGGATATTTTAAATTGAAATATCTTCCTATTGCATCCTATGCATTAATTTCAGTCTGCAAAAGTATTTGGATTATATTATTTGATGCAAGGAAAAGTATATTTAAACTATTTTATGCAGTGTGAACAGTACACTCAAAGAAACAAAAGCTCTGTGTAGAGAAAATTATTATAATAATATTTGAAACAATATTGAGCAATAGGCAATAAAAGTAAAGTATCATAAAACTGCCCAACTCTAAAAAATTTCTGCACAAAATGTTCTAGTTATCTCTGACATGAACCCAATAAAGATTCTCTGATAAATATTCTGCAAACCAGTCTATTTCCACTTGAACGTCTGATGGCTAATTAACTTATTAAATGGCTTGATGTTGAAGAGTTTTCCATGTTTTTCTTTAGAACAGCGGTTCTCAACCTTCCTAATGCCGCGACCCTGCAACCGGTCGTAAGTCGAGAACTACCTGTATTTCCCTTCCTGGGAGCGCCGCGCATGCGTGGTGCCACCCCCTGGGCCGGCCGAGGCGTAGCTGGCAAGGGGCAGCGATGGCGCAGGCTGACCACCAGCTGGACCAGCCCAAGGCATGTAACTCACCCGCCGGGCCCCACACACGCCAGCAACCCTCCCTGCGCCCGCCGCTGCCCCGCTAGCCTTACCTTGGCCACCGCCCGTTCAGGGCGGCGGCAGGCAGGTCCAGGCGCTCCTGGCCGGCCACGGCAAGCGGCAGAGACGGCGCAGGGCGACCACCGGCTGGGCCACCAGCTGTCCCAGCCCAAGGCAGGTAAGGCACCCGTCAGGCCCCACGCGCGCCAGCAACCCTCCCTGCACTCGCCGGCCTCCCACCTCCCACCCCTGGCCCTCTTTTACTTACTTTTAGTAGTTGCTCAGCAGGGAGGGAAGCTTTCTGGAAAGTTCTCCTTGCAGGACCGTTTGCAGACTGGGGCTTTTGGTGGGCTCAGCAGGGCAGAGACACCCTGGGCAATTCCTATTGGCTTTTGAAAGCCAATAGAATTAGACTATTCAAGAGAGTCTATTCTATTGGCTTTCAAAAGCCAATAGAATAAGGGAGTAGCACAGCTAAAGAAAAGGGGGGAAAAGGGGGGGAAATGGCGGACAGCCTTGTTTGGCGGCCTCCGTGAAATGGTCGTTTGACCCCAAATGGGGCCGCAACCCACAGGTTGAGAACCGCTGCTTTAGAACCATGAACATCAAAAACAAGCCAGTAAATCTTTTTTTACTAAGGCACTTGTATTATTGTTCAAACTGTAAGCAACTGATAGATGGCTTCCCACTAATGTACTTCTGATTTCTTCGATTTATAGGTCAGTGGTGGCGAATCTATGGCACGTGTGCCACAGGTGGCACGCAGAGCCCTCTCTGTGGGCACACCTGCCGTTGCCCCAGTCCTAGGCCTTCAGCTGGGTTTTATAAAACCTTTTCGCTTTAGGCCTCCGCCGCCATGGGGAAAAAAAAAGATTCAATCAATCAGCCAATTTCAACCTTGCAGGGAAAAAAAAAGATCTTGCAAAGTTGGAATTGATTGAACTTTTTAGTCCCACCCAGTCTGCCGTTACCACCGCAGCCACGCCCACACAATGGGCCACACCCACACAATGGGCCACACCCACACAGCACTCAACGATGCATAAGTGGCTTTTGGGTTGCAGTTTGAGCACTCAGTCTCTAAAAGATTTGCCATCACTGTTATGGATAATCCTCGCTTAACCCTTCAAAGTTTTGTCGGACTTTTAAAAAAGCTACTTATGACCTGCTCTTGAAGTCACGAGTGCTGCATAACCCTGTGGATCGTGTGATTGCATTTTGGGCACTAGGCAACTAGCTTACATTTATGATCAGTTGCAGTGTCCACTGGATATGCTGGATTCACTTAACAACCATGGGATTTGTTTAATTATTGTGTTATGCTTTATGATCCTGGCAAAAATGGTCAATGAGTAAAAAAGATGTGGGGAGGTATTGTTTTCACTATTTGTATATTGTGGTTTGGTTTTTTGGTAAGTCACTGAAAGTGAATGAGTGGCCATATAAATTCTCATAAATAAATAAATAATCACAGTCCTCAACAACTCAGTTCTAATAGTTCGTCGTAAGAACTTGGTCTAATTTAGAAAGATGTTACAAAAAGTGACTGCCTTCATGAACAGTAATATCAATATACTATGATTAAAGTGTGTTTTCCTAGACTAAGTTTTATTTAAATTTTAAAAAATGTGTACCCAGTAATTACTATTCCAAGAAAAAAATTGTTTATATTCTGAAAAATTATACAAGCTTGGTATCCTATTGTTTCTCAATCTTCTAAATCTAACTTTACTATTAGTGTTTTTTCTATGATATTAGCCTTTCAAAATACTAAAGTGATAGCTCTATGCAGATTAATATGTAATATGTTCTGTAAAACTAAGTAGATATTAATTTAATGAATTTCATTTTGCTTAAGAAAGATCAAAATATGCTATTTCTAAATAAAAATACTGAACAAACTACCCTTTTTTTATGAAACACATTTTTACAGAAAAAATGTTGGATTTACATTCAGAAAATAATGTTCAGCACTGCATTAGTATTTTTATAAAATATAATATTTTTCAATTTGAACTTTGCTGAGACAACAGAAGTATAAAAAGATACAGAACATTTTTATTTCCTTTAAATTCCAAATATTTTATTTTATTTAATAAATATACATCTCAGTATTTAAATAAAATGTATGAGGAATTATGAGGAGCTGTTTTCCTCCAAATGCTCTTAGGCATCTGGTTTAAATAACCAATAGAAAAAATAAGTTATGTGGAATGAAAATTCATCACAAGTTAATGAAACTAACTACAGATTTTCCATTAGTCTGCAGAAATGAAGCAAATGCATATTTGAATATATTAGAAAGAACAGTGTTTAAAGAGGGGAAGTGCTGTTTCTTTTTCTCTACAACTATTGTCACACATTCTGTTGTATCAGTTGTGTACAATACCATTATACCCAAATTTTAGTAAAAGAAAGAACGCAACATCGATTTATCTAGAACAAATTTTGACAGGCAAACCTTGTCTCATGTTCTTTGATCAAGCAAATTACTTAATAGATTCTTTAGTTATAATATACCTTGATTCCAGAAAAAAAATCTGACAAAGTATACAAAGATACTGAGATTAGCTAAATTCAATTTAGGGTGGATGGTTTAAAAATGTAATGCTACATACTTGGCTTAAAAACTGAACTGAAAAAATGCTTGTCAATAGTTCTTTATCAGATTGGAAGAAGGCATTGAGTGGAGTGCTATAAACTTAAATCCTAAACTCTCATTTCTTTAACTTTTAAATAAATTACTTGAATGAAGAGGTGGGGGATGTGTTTATCAAATTTGCACTTGACATAAAGTGGATAAGATAGCTAATAATAAACAAAATCAAAACAATATTGATAGATTAGAGAAAATTGGCAGAACAATGAAATTTAACAGAAACAAATGTTACAGGAATCAAAATATTGGGTATAGATCAGGTGCAAAATTACTTGTGAAAAACATCTTAGAAGTTTATTGCAAATTAAGCACAAAGGACTAAAAACTAGCTCAAGGACTGAAAATTAGTTCCATGAAGAGAAATTAAAAGTATTGGGCCTATATAGCCTTGAAATATTAAGCCACACATAGGTAACAAACCCAAGAAGCAAAACCCACACAGATATAAAAAAATATAAACTTGGAAACAATAAAAGTCCCAAACAGCAAGTCAATTAAAATGGTAAAATTTTAAAACACTGCCTGTCTCCTACCAAATGAATTCCTCTACCTCATGGGTGTCAAACTCGTGATGTCACGTGACATGTTGCGAGGTATCGTGACTTTTTCCCCATTGCCAACAATGGGGTGGGTGAGGTTTTGATGGGCCAGCAGTTTGACACCCCTGGTCTACCTGCTTCTCACAGCTTGAGATAGAATATAGTAATACTGAATGATCTAAAAGAATTTTGCATAGACAGTAGCCAAGATCTATTTTCTATCATTCCAGATAGTCCATTCCTGACATTAAATACAGAGCAATAGTGATTCCAATTATCCAGAGAAATAGCAAGGTTCCTCTTCCCTAAATGTACACAAATAGAGGCAAGAAAGCCATCTGCTGTGATGTTTATATTTTGACACCTACCCAGAGAGGGAAATAGGACTCCACAGTCAAAATTCCAATTCCAAATCTATGAATCTATACCTACAAAAAAAATGAGTGGTAATCCTTATACATACATGTAACAGGTGCCTCAATACAGTATATAAATAAATATAAATGCCTCCACATCAATAGGCTAGAGTTGGTCTAGCAGGCAACCCATCTCATCTAATCCCCACTGTCTACAACCGTAATTTTATATTGATTTGCTGGGGTGACTATCATGACAGGCTGGGCCACTTGACCTTATTTCTTTGTTTTACAGATTCAGTAGTGGAAATGTAATCTATTTCTTTGTATTTAAAAAACAAGCCCATCAAAGAGAAAACAAATTGTATTTATTTTCTTGGCATAGATGGGAATGGAGCAGAAATAGGAGAATCCAAGAGCAAAGACTAAATTAACCTCAGTGTGAACAGAACATCTGGCTGTATAAATATAAGGAGGGTACTCTATATATATTTATACATTTATACAGTAGGTGCTCCAACTTCTTAAAGTGAAATGCAATCCCAACAAAACTTTTAAGGAATTGCAAACAGTATCATGAGTGCATCCCTGCACCTTTTTTGCTGTAAATGTGAACTGTTTATTCATAATAAATAGCTGTACTATTTTTTTTCTTAATGATGGAAGATAAATCTAGGCAGTGTAAAAATTAAACTATTAAATCACCATGACTGTACAAAACAGGAAAAGAAAGGAAAAATTCCCTAGAACTAATCTATACGGGCTTGCAAATTATCAGCTAGAAGGAATTCACCATAACACTGCAGAGAATTATTCTAAAAAGAGGATATGGTTAGCCACAAAGCAAAACTATTTTTGCTGAGTTGCATCTCATGGTGAACTGCTTTTTGTACTGAAGCAATTTCTGTCCACTTATAGCCAAAATCAGTTAAAGTGTGTAGCAATCTTTTTCTTCTTTTACCTCCAAATGTTATCTGGTAAATACAAACCATAAAAATACCACATTTAGGACAAAACACAACACAACTTGTGGAAGAGAGTGAAGGAAAGGAGAACGAGATTTCTATAGTTTAACAGTTGAAAAGAACACTTCTCAAGGGACATTTCCCAACAAGAGAACATGTTCACCATCACTACAAAAATTACAACTATCTTTGAATCTGATTAATGCAGGTGTGGGAGTGTAGTTGCCCTACTCTTAATAACTGGTTAAAAGAACTACAAGAAAAATTACTCCATGCCAAAATTAAACGCTCTCTTCACATTTTTTTATTAAAAAGGTTAACGTGAAGGCTACTAGATCAGCTTGCCACATGAATTACAGTTTCTGTAAGTTTTTTATTTAATTTGATATAAAGCAGCATTCAACATTGCGTGCGCACTCCATCGTTAAAGAGATTCAATGGGGTTCCATCACCTCTACGGGAATCAAAACATATCGCCCAGGAGAATAGCTATAAACCTTTCCCATCAGGTAAAAGGACAACAGACAAAGTAGAATGTACTGTATCTGGAACAAATCTTGGATAAGGAGGAGGAGGAAAGTATGCCTGCTTAATCCTTATTTAGCCTAACTGCCTGAGCTGCCAAAATTCCCAGAAAGCAAATCGAAAAAAGTAAAGTGAGCGGAAAGCCAGTCCATATCCCAACTAGAATGGGCCAAAAGGAAGACAAAGAAAGCTGTTCTGTAAATCTTAGCCTTGCCAAGCTGCATTACAGCGCCCGTCCTCCCTGCGCTCGGCGGTCTCTGTCGGTCGTTTGTGCGGGACGCTGTTTGTTTAAAATCTTCACTTGCTACCCAGAATTCAGCGTCTCCTTCCCAGATCCCTCTCCCCCCTCCCGTATTTTTCTTTTTTTCGGCCGCTACTCACTCCAAGCAGACAGACTTTCAGCTCTCGTATCGCCATCATCTGTTTGGGGCGTAGCGGCTTCGCATCCTTGAGGAGCGAATCCTCCGGTCTCTCTCGCTGCTACCCACTTCCAAAAACGGGCAAAGCGGCAGCAGTTGCAGCTACTTCTCAGCAGCCCCCGGCCCTGTGCCGCCAGCGGTCACATGAGCATAACCTCGGCTCCAGCTCCTCCTCGCTTTCTTTTGCCGCTTTCCTCACCCAAATCCAACGCTTACAAAATAGCTAAACTTCAGCGTATTTCGGAAGACGCAGTTGCCATTCTTAGATCGGCGCGCTGGACCCGCGGTTGGCCCTTGAGCCCTTCCAGGTTGCGAAACGAACAGAAGCAACGCTGCGTTCCCGCCCATTTTTCTCTCCGCTCGGGTCCCGCCGGCGGAGGGCTCAAACTTCCAAGTAGAATAACAGCAGACGACGCTTTGAAGGGGGATGGGGAGGAAGACAATCACTGATGTGACGAGTGGGCTGATTTAAAACCTGCTGGATAAAAATTAAAAACAAAACAAGATACAGTACTTTTTTTACACGCCGTCTTTGGATTGATATTCCTACTAGCCATTTACCAGGAAGTAGATTTCAAAGCTTCAGTACACCCCTGTAAATAAAAACAAAAACACATCAAGTCAGAGATTAAACCATCTAAGTAGCAATACGTAGGATAGAATTGTTATTCCTTAAATTATAGCCAATAATGCAAACATTGGCTAAGGAAAGCAAATTTAGAATTCTAAGCCTATCATACAAAAGCTGAATTTTGTGACCTGTATAAAGCCCATTAATTTTTCTCTAATACAATGTTTTGAAAGCCTAATCCAACCAGTTCAGTGAGATATCAAAGGGCAATAGAATTAATTCTCAGTAAACTCGATAAACTAGGTGTTTCTAGGATTACCAAATTATAGAGTACTAAAAGTCTCCTCTTGTACCTTCAAATAGATAACACCTATTCATATCTTCACTCAGAACAGGCAGAGAAACCACAGCATCTTACAAAGCTTCCAATTATTCGTTTTATTAGCACTCCCATCTTCAACATTTCCTATCATTCCAACAATTTTCTGGTACATTGGTTTGAGAAATAGTAAATTGCCCAATGTGACAATCTTAAACTGGGTAAATTAATTTAATTTAAACCTCTCTAGTAGAGTCCCAAGGGTGTTTTTCCAAAAGGCAAATGAACTTTGTTAGTTTTTTCTCTGAAAACATTTCGCTTCTCATCCAAGAAGTTTCTGGGATTATGTTAATGTTAAAGGAATTATGTTTCTTATCACTAGATCACACAGGATAAGGTACAACCGTTAAGATAATCTTTGTGTACAAAAAGGGTAAACATGGGATCAATTATGAACAGTGTCTGTCCCTTTTTATTCCAGGAACTTTCATAACAGTCTGTATTTAAAGACCTGAGGTCAGGGAAACATTCCTAAGGAATCTCTCATTTTTCAATATGTTATGAAAAAACCCAAGTCTTGTTATCCTAATTATAGGCCCTGCAGATTTTAATTTGGAAAACATCTGAGTTTTAATTCTCTAAAAAAAAATTAAACATTTACTTTTAAGTTCAAAAAATTGCAACTTTATTAAAACAAATCAGAGTGTAATAGAGTGATAGAGCATACTACTGACTGCAAATATTTATGTTCACACAAAACATCAAAACTATATAGTCTTTTTGTAAGAACAGTATGTAGCTTGAAAATTGTAGGATTGAGGTTTAGCAATAATAGTCCATTTAAGGCAGAGAAAGCACTGTGGTTCTCCCCCCCCCCCAACACTTAATGCTTGCTTGTTAACTTGTGAGATTATAAATTTGTTTGACATTTCCTAGATAAACTAGGAAATCAGGCCTTCTCATGTGATATTGATGGGACATACTCTGTTTTGATAGAGATAGGATTTGTGACCCAATATTGAACATTGAAAAAGGGTTTGCTAGTATCTTTTTCCTATGGTGTACTGGGCTAGAGCTGGAGTGGATGTAGCTCCTTCTGGGATGTATAGTATTTTTGTTTTTGGCTGGACTTACATTTATATTCTTCTTCTGTACTTTTTCTTCTACTTATTTTCTTGCTTTTTAAATTTTTTATACTTATTGTTATTATGCTATGAGCAGTTTCGACTCAGGTTAAATTGAATGGATTAAAGTAAATATTAAATTAAAGCTGAACTGAGTGTATGAATATTAGACTAAGAAGCATTTGCTAAATAAACTGATATGTGATGACCAAAGAGAAATGCTGATACTGCTTACATGATTATGTCATGCCAGTATGTCTATGGAAAAAAATGAAAATATTAGAAGTCTGAAGAAAGAATGCAAGATTGATGACTGGGAATGCTGGGAATTCTGGAACTATCTTCGGTTTAACAAGATCACATGTTGAATACAGTGGAAGGATATGAAAAAAAAGTTACTAAGGAAGATAACTATTAATTTTATACAGAAATAAATCAAGACTGTCATAAAATGGATTACTCATTTTGTGACATTTTTACTATGCTTGTTAAGTAAATCAACTGGGTCATTAAATGAACAAACATTGGGTTTGCTGGTTGCTTTGGTTCATTAAATGATCTTCACCAGTGCTTTTTTTGTAAAAAAAAAAAAAAAAAGTGCCGGAACTCACACATGTCATACAACCTGCCTTGCCTACCTTACAAGGTTCCATCCAAAAAAGGTGCCGGAACTCTGTTCTGGGCGTTCTATGACAAAAAAAAGCCCTGATCTTCACAATCATTAAGTAAACTGAGAGGCCAGCATGGAGCCTCTGAAGAGAATCGCTGCTGCCTGCCCATCAGCAGTTCTAGCAAAGTGAGGTGACTCTCCACTTCCAAACCACAGCACCTCCAGGCAGGTGCCTGGACTTAACTTGGGGTAGGGGCTGAATTTGCAGGGCTTCCCAGTGTGGAGCCTCCAGTTCAGTAGAACTGCCACAGTAGAATGCAAAGGAATGTTCTCCAAGCCATCTTAAACCCTATGCAAAGAAACACAGTATAGTAGAATGCAAAGGAACTTTGCTGAATTTGCTTTCTGTAGACGTGGCTAGTATTTTTACAAGCAAATCCAAGGCAAACACAAACAAGCACAGTGATAAAAAAAAGTTATCTTTATAAAGTACTCACAAACAAGCACAGTAGTTTGTAAAGTACTTACAAACAAGCACAGTACTATAATAAAAAAGAAAATTTTAAAGTATTAACAAAACAACTACAGTATTCCAATCCTCAAGGCAACAAAAGAAGTAACAAAGGTAGGAACGATAGATTCACTTTTCTAGTCCTCCATATGGCAACAGTGAGGTGGAAAGAAAGCACACTGGATGCAAAAACCCCAATCTGAATTGGTCATGTGTCCAGTGGAAAATACACACATGACCATATAGACCTCGGAAATCACCTGCTGTAACTGGATGACTTCTGATTCTCAAAGGGAGGTCACAGGATTAAAAATGGCTGCTACTTCAGGAAAGACTGAATCTAGGCCACATAACTTCAGAGGTCTTCTGTTGGTCACAATGTTGAACCCGTGTCATAAGTACACTTTTGAAGTGTATTCATAACTTCAAACAGTCATTAAATGGCCTGTCTACTTCAAGAACTACCTGAATAGACTTTAGAGAAGTAATCTCTGGATTAATATAAAATAAATACAAAGGCTAATTTTATAAATAAAGTGGCTAAGTTTTATGATAAAATAACAAATACTTTAAAATATCAGTCATTCCAGATGAATTTGGCAGTAATTAAGCAAATATATATCAAATATATAAAACACTGAAATAAAACACAAATTAATTCAACCCTATAAGATTTAGCAGAAATGTATTGTGCCAAATGTCAACAATTAAGAAAATAGCCGTTCTACTTCACAGAACCTTGCAACATATTTACCACAACACGTATGTAGAATACAAAATGAAAAGGATATCACAACATGGTTCTTTCTAGAGCAATCTTAGTGTACTTATTTCTTTGCTTAGAAACAACCAAAAGAAAAGATATGTGAAAAGATAAGAAGGAAATGATCAAAACAGCAGGACTTTTTTGAGACTTAGAGAATGAAATGTTTATGAGCAGCAGTCCCCGAAGAGATGCGTTATGGCAGGGAGACAAATTATGAAATGCATGCAACAATGTTATCAGACACATTTTCATGTTTGTGTCAGAAACTGAAATACAAATGTATAAGGATGGCATTTATATATAGCTGACACCCTGTCATCACTGCAGTTGCTGCAGATGGTGCTGTGAAGAAATATATTACTGGGATGTGAAAGACCCATATCTGAATCTATAATATGGATAACACAAGCTTGTGGAATTAGTATACACAGAATATGTTAAGGAAATCTCAATGAAGATATGAATATCTTAAATCCATGTTTCTTATTAATAAGAAACTTTTGTCAGGAAGTTATTACTAGCCAGAACTACTGGGCATAAGTACACACATGGCAAATCAAGATTCGTCTCTTCATAAGATATTAATGATCATTAGAAAAAATAAATATAAATATAAAAATAAAAATAGAATTCTTTATTGGCCAAGTGTGATTGGACACACATAAGGAATTTGTCTCCGGTGCATAAGCTCTCAGTGTACACACAAGCAACAAGTGATAATCATCATAAAATACAATCATCATAAATCATAGATACAATACTCAGTGATAGTCATAGGTTATTAAAGCAATCAACATAAATCATAATAGGATACTAAATAAAAGTAATCAACATAAATCATGAGCTAAAACAACAAATTATAGTCATAAGAATCTAAGGAAACAGATATCTATTCCATACATAAAAAGTATGAAATAGGTGCATGAAAAGAAGCACATAGACCCTTGAGAAAAAAATACCTTTTGCTCAGTTATTTCTGACAGCCAAGAAGCAACTCACTGTCATACTGGGATTGTGACACTTCTTTTAACAAGGGATGTAAAGCAGCCAATCATTTGCCTTTATTCTAGTATTGTAGTTTTTGTTGCTCAAGGAAACGAAGCTAAGAGAGGCAGGTTTGTCACTTATACTCATTTTATTTATTTCTACAAAATATTATATGCTGCTTGCCTTGGACTCAAGGCTGTCCTTAATTAACCAACATTCATGATTTACAACTCCTCCACAAAAGAATTAATAACCCTCCCAAACTAGCTAAGTACATGGCAGCTCTTAGACTGCTAACACCAAAGATTCAGTGGAATAGTCTTGAGTACCTTCCTGAAGGCTATAAGGTTTAGGATATTTCACCTCAAGAGGTGAAATGTTCCAGAGTATGAAGCAGTTATTAGAGAAGAAAGGTAATTGGGTCGCTATGCCTTTCACTTATACGGAGTAGGATTTCTCAGTGGCTGGTCCCTGCATGAATGACAGACTATTTTCTTTGCTCACAACCATTTTCTCTCCTATTTTCTTGTTTCTCACATCAAGTACATAACAAATGGCTAGTACTGCTTAATTGTAACACATAAACATTCTAAAAAGCAAGTCATCTGAATTTTTATAATGGTTACATTTCAGTGTGGACTTAAGCATGCTTAACAGTGTTGGGCAGGGATCAAAATATTCTAAATTAATTCAGTAATTCATTTT